ACCAGCCCAAAGTCACCCAGTGAGCTCCATGGCCACGTGGACCATGGGCCTGGGTTTCTAGTCCAGCATTCTCACCAGCACCAGCTCTGTGCTGGTGAGGGACCTGCGGCTGTCTGAACTTGCTTATCTGTAAGACGTGGGCCTTCTCTCTGATGATGCAAGGGGTGCCACTGTTCTCTGATACCCCTGGAAGCATGCAAGGCATGGGAAGGCCACAGACTCTCGGAAGGGAGTCCCTGATTCATTCTGCGCAGCTGAAATACCAGAGGAGCACAGAGAGTGTTGCATGAAAAGCTCATTATAAAGGGGAAGCAGTGCCATTAATTAACAGCTGGAAGGATGCATAGAGATCTCCCGAGATGAAAGCTGGGCCAGAAGCAAAAGTGATACTTCCGAAAGGCGCCGAGCCGCTCCAGAACAGCAGAGCCAGATGGGAGCTGCAAGCATTTCCGACATATTCTGGTTCAACCTGACGTGATCAAAGTGGATTTTGAGCCTCTTCCTCCCAAACAGAACCCCTGCAAGCCCCTCCTGAAATGGAAAAGTTGCAAATCAAAGTTTAAATAAGGCCACAACTAATTCTATCTCCTCTTGTTTCTTACTCCCTCCGGGCTTCGACACGCAAGACTTCAATTGAATGATGGTGTTAAGAGAATGTCTAAGAAAAAACATCCAGAGTGAGCTGACTGCTAAAAACAAATTGAATCTGAGGGCTAGTGCTGGGAAGCCATTAATTTCTTCCCGTGTCGCTGTCACATTCTCCTAAGTCAAGCGCTGGATGACTGCTAAGCAAACAGCTGGGAGATATACTTCAGGTGTTTTAATATTCAGCCTGTTCAACTTGCAAAGTTATCATCCAGCAGGTCAGCCTCGGCTTGTCATGACTCGGCAGCACAAATAGAGGCAAAGCTTTGTTGTTGTTGCTTCTGTTGCTGAGATAGATAGACGTGGGTGCGTTGAGGAGCAGCCAGGTCAAGCCTCGTGCTGCCTCTGCATCCCCAGCCTAATTTCCAGACCTCCGTTTGATCAGACAGTGACAACATGTGAGAGAGAAGAAAAACGACAAACAACCAACTGCATGTTCTGGCCACGATCCACCAAATTTAAGCACTCTGCCTGACATGAGTTCCACTGGGAGACTTGAATGCTATCTGAGGACCATGGAATCATGGGATGGTAGAGTTGGAAGGGGCCAAGAAGGCCACTGGGTCCGACCCTCTGCTCAGGACAGGACTCCCAGGTAAACCGTTCCTCTCAGATGGCTGGCCAGCTGCATCTGGAAAGTCCACAGCTGCCTGACCCATTGCTTCCACTGCTGACCTCCTCTAAGAGAGGGGCAGTTCTTTCTGGTGTAACCTGGCTTCCTGTCACTTGAGCACATTATTCCACGCGCTACACTCTGGGATGATCGATAAGAGGTCCTGGCCTTTCTCCTTGGGACGGCCTTTCAAGTACCTTTGGTGAGCCATCATTTCTCTTCCAGTCTTCTCTTCTCCAGGCGAAGCATGCCCATTTCTTTCAATCTCTCCACTTCTTTGCTTCCAGTCCCTGGATCATCCTTGTTGCCCTCCCCTGAACCCTTTCCAGCTTGTCTGCATCTTTTCCAAACTGTGGTGCCCAGAACTGGGCACAGGACTCCAGATGAGGCCCAGCCAGTGCTGAGTAGAGGGACGGTGGCACTTCATGGGATTTGGAAATGTGAAGCCGGCTCTGCGGTTTCACAGAAAGAGGCATGACGGATGCTGTGGGACAAGCAGGGGTGGAGAGGCGTTGAAAGATAGGCAGTCACGTAATCTGTTCTGCCTGTGCACAGGTGTGGTGGACGAGGGTGTCCCACTGTTAGTCTGGAGGAAGAACCAACTTACTTTCTGTACATGAAAAGGAGAGGAGTCCCTTGGGTGATGCAGTTAAATTATAGTTCATAGAATCATAGTAGAGTTGGAAGTTACTGCAATGCACGCCATTCTATCCTACCTTTCTTCTTGCAAGGTTCTTCTTCCCATTTTATCCTCCCAGCAACCTCCCGGAGTCTGTGCCTGGCCCAAAGTCATCCAGCAAACTTCACAGCTGAGTGCGGCTAGAATCCAGGATCCTTTAAAGAGTCAAGCCAGAACTCATCTGTATTTGGTGGTCCCAGGTCACCATTCTTGTGCAAGCCCCGCAGAAATGTTTGATGGGGCAGACCAAGGAATGCCCTAGCAATGGAGAACATGTGGCCCTCCAGAACTTGGTGCACCGTTGGTCATGCTGGCCAGGACCCTTGGGAGTTGTAGTCCACCAGCTTTTGTTGGGCCGCCAGTAGTCCACCTGTCCATCAGGTGGGCCACAGAGCCTGCACATCTGCTTTACCTGATCCAGTATTGTTTTACCACAATCACAACTAGGGTGTCCACTTATGAGTCATCAAAGAGCAAAACATGGAAACCAGTCCCATAAGAAATTGCAATATTGTAGCCCATTGCTAACTATTCTTTTCCATAATTTTTTAAGACAGGTAGGGTTGTGAAAAGCACAATCCTCAGAGGTGGGGGGAAGAGATGTTTGTGGGAACCTAGACTGGCCTCCACTTCCAAGGGTGGATAATTCAGGGGCCCTTTTTAAAAAAAAGGTTAAGTTGTGGCCAGCACAGAGTGGCTTGGTGTGGCTCAGGGGACACGAGTGCTTTATCCCCTGGGATACTGCAAGAGGAATTTTTACACAGAGCAGGGTTAAAATTCCCAAGGGGGTTCATGTGTCACGTGAATCCCACCAGTGTCTCTTCTCCTCTCCCCAGTCAAACACAGAAACAGTTTCATTTCCACATGGAGGTTAAACTCCTCTTTCCAGGCTTCCATGCCTGGGCAATGGCTTCAGGGGCTCCGTTCTCACCTCCTCTCTCTTTACTCATGGCTTATTATTCTTCAGTTGCGGGATCTCACCACTGCTGACACCATGTTTCAGAGCTGGTGGGCTGCACAGCACAGAATGAATGAAACTCAGCTTTAAGAACAAACACCCAAGCTTTATTTTAAGCCAAGGCTTTTCCACAGGATTCTCAGACTGTTCGCTGCTCTCACCTCCAGCCAGAAACAAAAAAGGTATTGGTGCCAGCGTCTTCCCACCCCACCCAGGCAAAATGCACCCTGCTTTGATTATTATGCTGGTCTCCTTAGGCAGTTGACCAGGCACTTAGCCCCTGAACCTTCTGTCCAACCAGTTTATAGAGGCTGGAATCCCTAGAATGGTTGAGGAGCCTTTGGCTGAATAACCAAAAAGGCAAGAAAGATTATCAGTTTATATCAGAGCAAATCATGAGCACCCCACCGGCCTGTGATCTCCCCCTTGCCCTCTTTCAGCACTTCCCAAGACATTCAGACTTTGTAGTGTTTTCTGGGCACGGAGTATATGATTGGTTCAAAGACAGACCTTGCTCATTGCCCGAGTGGAGCATGGAACAGATAGGATGGACTTGGCCCAGCTCTGCAAAGAAGCCACCCCACCTCTGATGCACCGCACCCAAGTTTGCCAGGTTGGAAACAGCAGCTGGTTGAATGCAGGGGGATTATGGGTGGTCTGGTATTGGGCATCAAGAACCAGGAACCCCATGGGAGACTTTCATCTGCACCGTTCAGCCCCGAGCGTGGCAACTTGACTTGGTGTGCTAACACAGACAACCCCGTCCTCCTGCAGCGCCAAAGAACCTGCAGCAATCTCACAGCATTTGCCTGTTATAGAGCTGTTATATGTGCTCCCCATCTGTCTCGGCTCTTTCCGTGGAAGGAGAGCTTCCTGATGTTCCTTTACACAAGCAATAGGAACCAGGAGCCCCAGCAGAAGGCTGGTTATGGTCTGCAGCCATGCCTCTTCCATGACGCCACATCACAAAGACATGGCCAGCGCTTGCAAGGTCTTGTTGCAACAGAACCACAGCAAAGGTGGTGGAGGGACTTGTCCTGTTCCTCCAAAATATAGCTTTCCAAGGTGGCTATTTCAAACTGGAGGAAGAGGGAGTGGGTGGAAGTGCCAAACCCAGCAGGGCCCAAGGTAAGCAGAGTGGCTGGTGAGAACTGGACATGGTCCACTTCTGTGGGACATTCCACGGAACAGGTGGCGTTCGATGGGGCAGACGTGTCCTGATCAACTCCCTAGTCCAGTGTCAGAGCACGAGTAGACCCCAATAGTGCCCAACACAGCTACTGTTTCGCCCACAAGCAGCAGGAACCATCCTGAGGGCTGGAAAGGGGAAAAGATTGTTTGGAACTCCCTTCTTAGCTGAATAGCTACCTAATAGCTGGTAGCCTCATTTTGCTGATGTCCTTTGTTCCCGACTTCTGCAATGCTCCCCTTTTGTATCACAAAGCCACCCTTTCTAGCCAACTTAATCGAAACTGCAGTTAGGTTTTGCTTTTTTGTTCCAATCTGCTAGGAAAGAGAAACCACAATTTTGCAACCTTCAATAAGCGGTGTATTTTCAGCAGGCTACTGGCATGTCCCATGCAAACTGGGCAAGCGGAAACTGCTTGCAACAAAACACACATTTTCCAATCCCATCCAGATTTCACACATACCATCATGGGGGGATGACTGTCTCATACAAGAGCTTTGCACTGGTTCCTTGGCTTCGCAGAAGAATCTACGCATTTATTGGTTATTGAGGCGAACTCAAATTATGTCTGCACAGGCATATATTGGACTCGAAGCAGCTGAGCTTTGATTAACATATTGTTAAGTCCACCGGACTCTGCACAAGTTGTGACAGGGAGTGATTGCAACATGATGCTTCAAATTGCATCTCAGCCGTGAACCGGCGAAGCAGAGCAGTGGTTATTACTCCAGGTTTACTCTTCTGTGGAGGGCCTAATAGTAAACTACCTTTAAAGGCTGTGGTAAGGGTTGCAGAGAGAATCTGGCACTGCTTTATAAATGTTTCAAGAGCGGATGCCAAGTTGTTTCATCCGGGAGAAGGGATGCAAGAGTACTTCACATGCGGCAACACTAACAAAGACTCTAGGGATTGGTTGTTTCCATTTTGAAATGCACATTTATTCAGAGTATAACTTACAGCTTGGCCAAGGTCCCAAAATTCAGGATTCCATCAAATTTTATTTACAAAGTTTGTAATTACTGATATTAAGATTAACAAGGGAAGGCTGTCTGTTTTGGGAATCGTATTCCTTGGGACTGGATGGAGGACTGAAGTCGAGCAAGGAGACCTGGCACTGAAGGGGCGGGGTAGTTTCTGAAGTCCGGGTGACCCATGTCCTCATGTGCTCATCGTGCGGACACTTGTCCCCTCCCTTCATCACTCTCATGGCCACTTCACGTTCAAGTTCTCTGTCTGCTTCGGACAGCCCAACATCCCCACTTCTCAACTACCCCCGTTTTTAAGCCAGAAATGGGCATTTTGCTCTTCTCCAATCCCCGTGGCACTCAAATACCCCTAAGCATCTTTTAGGCCTGGCATGTACACAGCAGCAAAAGTAAAGCAATGGATTAGCTTCTCCACATTGCAAAGCAGCAGTTCACACAGAGCCAGGCGAAAATGGGAGAGTTGGAGAGCACTGCGCCCTGGCAGTTTGCTTCATCCAGGCACGTTATGTTGAAAAGGCATGAGGAAGTTCGGAAGGTTCTGCTGGGAAAGGCTTTGGAGAGCCCAATCCAGGTTCTACGTGGCAAGCAGCGCATGTTTCTGTTGTGAGGAATCTAACCTCACTGTGGTAGGCAGGCCACCAGAGGCAGACAGAGCTTGCAAGATTGGGGATGTGTTGTGGTTCCTGGAATTTCTTATTCCTGCCATAAACCATCTCTTCTTTCCACAAGAAGCGCCAGAAGCACCAAAGCGGGGTTGGCAGGCCCAAGAAAAAGAAATCGATTGTAGCACTGACTTGTTATTCAACTCATAGTTCTTCAGCTTCAGTGTCATCCATATAAAGCCAGGAACGGTTCTTACCGGGAGTGAATTTTATGCCTCTGTACGTGATCTGTGGCAAAAGGTTCTCGTTAGATGAACACTCCCACCCTGCCTAGCTGGGCAGCTGCACAGACTCATTGAGTTAAAGTTAGTATTTTGACAATCCTTTTACAGAACAGATTGCTAGAAAGCTGGAGATGGCTTTGGTGGGTAGAAGGCCACAGTTTCTGATCAAGCCCTAACAGAAAAAAGATAATCCACCACCTAAGAAAAAAACTGGTGTTTGGAGACACTTTTCACCCAACACGTTTGACACTAGATTGGTATGTGGGGTTAATACCCCAGCTATAGTAACAAACCAGGATTTAAACCACATGCTCTCTGCCCCTCCACTTGACATAAACCAAGTTAGATTGTTGTACAAGAAATAACCAGGCCACTTAAAAAAAAGAAAAGCATTTACTTGGTCAACAAAAAATAAATACAAGGTATTAAGACATTCAGAATGAGGCAGCATGGAGTTACAGCCACGGGAACAGACGCAAGGGAGAAGCAGCGTGGTTCTGACCTGCACTGTCCATCCGGATATATTCGGGGGCAGAGCTGCAGGGAGGTACAGGCAGGGACGAGCGCTTTGCTTTTGGCACACGGGATTTTGCCCCTCCAGCTAAGACACCAATTACGCTCACTCGGAACTGCAACACAATTGCTCAAGCAAATATGTGTGTGTGTGCGTGTGTATAAAACCAATACTATTTATGTAGCATACATACAAGCCACGCTGCTTAATGGTGCAGTTGGATTACGGGCATTTGTTTACACTGGGGAAAAGGTAACCGGCAAGAGTTTCTCTCCAGGTTGCAGCAAGCATGAGGGTCGTGCTGCGCCATTAGAACTCGCCGTCACTTCCGGGATAAGAGGGACTCCTGCATCGAGACCTCTTTTATACCATCCCTCGCCTTCCCCCTTTACTGCTCGGGGGCCGCAGGGTTGCCTGCATTTGGGAACTGCTTTGCAAAGGCAGTCCTAGTCCAGTATTCGTTTTAGGACTCTGGGAGAGACTGTACCACTGGGTAAGGGAAGATAAACCCCGTGGCTCATTTTCCTGCCTTATGAATGCCGGTCATTCACTGCCTGGTTTCTGCAATTACCCTCACCAGGTGTTGCTGGTTGTGATGTCCAAACCGAGCCAGAGTGGGTGCGTGGCACGCAGTTTTCAATCCGTCCTGCAATTCTGGATCACGCGTGGGTTCCAGGTGTTTTGCAAGCCACCCCGACTGGGGTTGGACACCATGGCAAGCTGTGGCCAGCAAAGGTGGTTATGGAAACCGGGCGGCGTGTGAGGGGATGCCAAGGCTGCGGAAACACACCATGGTGCCTTGTTTGCCTTCCCTGAGCATGTGAAGGAGCCGTGCGATTGCGTCAGGAAACGCTTACGTGGCGTCAACCACCGCGAGCGCGACCGCACCGGGCAGCACTGGGCAGTGCGGGACTGATGCGATCGCTCTGAACTTGCCAGCTCAGGGCTGGGCTGCCCAGTTCAGTCTCACCGTAACCGTGAGCCGAGCAGGACTGCTCAGGGTTGTGGTCAGCTCTCTTTCTACCTGGGCCGTCTGGGGGAGCCAGAAATAATTTTTATGGAGGGCAGGGTGTCGTTATCGAGGCGATGACAGGGGAAACTGTACTCCCTGCAAAAGGGGCTCTTGGGCAACTAAGAGGAGGAGCTGCCAAGTGCTGGACCCAAGAGGCGTTAAAGGGTGCAGTGCTCTTGCTGCATCTCCGGCCGATATTCTCCACACAACTGTCCTGCAGCTGCTCCCCTACACGTCTCTCCCCGTTGTCTTCACAACACAACTTACGAGGTCAGGATGACTCATCCACTCCATGGGAATCCGTCCATCAGGCCTCCTCTTTTCCGAGAAGTGGCTCAGAGACTGCTGGCCAAGCAGGATGGCTGCGCATCACCTTCAGGGTCAGGGACTAGGGAAGACTACCGGGGGGGGGGGGGGGTCTATTGCATCCACATCCTGCCGCGGGGGCATCGCTTATGCTACTTTTGCAACAGAACGCTGGATGAGTCTTTAGTCTGATCTAGCAGGACTTATGTTTGCAAGACTGCATGTCACTTGCAAAAAGAAGGTGTAAATGCAAAACATCAAGACACGCCTATGTTTTGCAATGACTCTGAGGATGCCAAGAATGAGGCTTTTTAGGTGGACTTCTGTGGGTACGTTATTCATATTACAATGTTAGGATTTATATGGATCTGTAGGTGATTTTAAAGAGCACATTACATCGTCTGAGTAAGCAAGGTGTGGGTCGTGGCCCAAGCTCTCCCTGCATGCTGGGTCGCCCACAGTTTCTCCTACGGTCTGCAGCACTTGCAACTTTTGGCTTCTGGTCAAAGGCAAGACGTAGATGCAGCCGGGCCGTCCGAGTTAAACATGCAGGCCCTGCTCCCTCACAGAACATCCTCTGCTGCTTACGCTGACACAGGTTAGCACAAAAAGTGTGGACCCACGTTCCTCTAGCGAGGCCCTTCGAGTTCTAGCAAGGTTATTTCTATTTGCCTTTCTATACCAACACCAAGCCAAAGCAAACCGACGAGAAACCCACGTGGCAGCTAAGTGCTCCGTGTGAATGCTCTTCGGGAGACTCCTAGGTCACCGGGGAAGCTTTCCAGCCAGTGGGGACTGCAAGGGATTCCTCGTCAGCACCATCTCTAGCACCAGCCCCGGTCAAGGATGTTGCTCATCGTTTTCCCACCCGTTTCAAGGCAGGAGATGCAGCTGGTGCTCTTTCTGGAAAGCCAACTGACAAAGGAGAGGAGAAAAGCCCTTGCCCCTAGAAAGATGGATGGGGGCTTCACAAAACAGGAACGGAAGGAGAGAAAATGATCGATTCAAAAGAGGAGACATGCGGACATGATATAAGCTTGGCAGAAGACAGATTAATTTTTGGAGTCTCCTGAATTCCTGCAACTCAAGGAAGAAACCTCCTGCTGTACAAGTCCCAACAAAATGAATGACAGGATACTGTACAATCTCCATTTCATGGAAACTGAGCTTGTGCAGGAGGCTTGGGGGGAGGGGGTGTTTTCTTGCTCCCCACACCTATGGGGCAAAATGGGGTTTCAAGGTATGGCAGGTTGTGGATTGGAGCTGCCAGACCAGGAATGTTTGAAGGAGGAAGACGGGAGGTCTGCCAGGTTGTGCTGAGTTAAAGGGGGGAAATGACACATTCTTGCCAAGAAGGCCGGCTAGACAGATCTCTGGAAATCAAGGGACACACTGCTGGCCGAATCCGAAAAACCGTGGCCCCCCCGAGCATGCCGACATATTTAGGCACTCTGTGGGAGAGGTGTGCGGGCGCCCCCCCCCTTGTGACAGCGCAAGTCCAAAGGTGCACAGACAGGCAAAGCAAAGACAAGCCGGAACACACGCGACTCGGTCACGGCCGGAGGGAAGAGTGCAAAACACGACAGCAAAGAAGAAAGCGGCTTAGCTGGACTTAATTAGGCATCTGATGGTGCAGTTAGAAAAGTTGCGAGTCAAACTTGGCAGCACATCGCGCACTGAATTGCTTTGCCATTCCGAACACACTCGAGTCTCTCCTGGTGGCTTAAAAGCTGAGAAATGTCTCCTTTCCAAGTGAAATGCCAAACTTTGGGATCCTCCATCTAAAGGAGTCAGCTGCGTAAATACCTCCTTGCACACCCAGGGGTTCTAATGTGCAGGGGGAACCCCCGTCTTTCCGAAGAGGTTCGCTCTCCCTGTGCACGGAACTCTTCAGAGATGCAAGAGGGATACTGCCTTGCAACTCTTATATAAAACCTCTGATAAATACTTTTTAAAAAACCCTGACAAATATGAAACCGCTTTCCAAGGGGTTAAAAAAACTTCAGTTAAAAATGGTATTTATGAGCCACATTTTTTTCTTTTAAAAGAAACAGCTGATATGAAGAATTTCATTTGGTTTTTAAAAAGGCTTTACTCCCTCAAGGAAAAAAAAATAGATTTACAAAACGAAAAACAGCCTGCATCAACTCTCCAGGAAAGAGTGTTGACAATATTAATCCAAATATCACGCTATTTAATTCCCCAATAAAACATTGGGAAAAAAGTGCCTACCATCTCTTTCTAACACTTTTGCTACATATAAAATCTCCAGCTAACAGGAATCTTATGGTACCAACCCTCTAGAACAGTTACGATATGTACACATTTGTGGGCAGGGGGATATTAACAAACAGAATATTACAAAGTATTAAAGAAGGCAACTCTTCCGTCGTGTGATTCTCATCTTCACTTGAAGTTGGCGTAGTCTGAAAAGGCGTCAATGTACTCCTGGACCACCTTGTAGCAGAATTCGTACTGTTCCTAGGGGTGAGACCGAAGAGAAAGCATCAGTGCGAGAAAACCCAGGCTCTCCGACGACGTTGCCGTGTGCCCGCCCGCCCGTTGCCATCCTGGATGGCCAAAGGAGTCGTCGGAAGTTGGGCCACTGGTCCATCTGGTCAGTGCTGCCTTCAGGACGCAAACCGACAGCAACTCTTGGGCATCAGCCCGGGGCCTTTCCTCGCCTTTCCCATTTCTGTGCAGCCCTAGAGGCTGCTTTCCAAGGCAGCCCAACTCTGCAGTCAGCGCAAAACCAGTCTGTGTTGTTCTCAGCTCAAGGCGCTGGTCTGAACTGTTGATGCCCGCAACAGCTTCCCTGAAAGATGGGCTTCTCCCGTCTATCACCAGCCGGCACCAGCCAAAGATTAATAAAATAAAAACTTTGCAGGCCTTTTGAAATCCCACGCCTGCTGTGTTGCACCAAGGCCACAGCAAAATCCCACTTTGCCTTCATTCTGCCTGGGTTCTTCTGGAGCGGCTTGCTCCGCAAGCACCTGTCTCCGTGGGTCGCACGCCAGGGGATTAACACCCCCCCCCCACCTTGCATTGGCAAGGAACCCTGTGGTACAGGCCTCTCTCGAGGTGCTCCTGAGCTGTGCAGGATGCCGGGGAATACAGTAGGGCCAGGCCTGCTGGGAGCAGGTGCTGCCAGGACGCTCTGGGGTTGGGGCGGGGAGAGGGATTAGAGTGGAAGGACAAACTGCCTGCCCGGGAAGCGCCGCCCACCATTAGCGAGCTTCCCCCTGACGAATGCTGATGGGTGTCTCACGGACACAGGGCTTTCCCTCGACCACAACTGGAAAACCATGTGCTCTGTGCACCTCCTGTTTAAAGCGCCTCCCGTTTGAGGGCTCTTTGAGGTGGCAAACCAGCACGGCACCAGCCGGTGACCTGGGGGAGCGGCTGCCAGCCTGAGCGGCCGCCACTGGGGAAGGGGGACCAACGGGCGCCATCTACAGGGAGGGCTTGACATGCACGGGAATTCCTCCAGGGCAGAGAGAAGAGCAGGCCACAGGAATGTGTGAACCAGGAAAAGCACGGCAGTGCGGAGAAGGTGCTCCGAAGCTGCTGCTGCTGCGCGACAGGCCGGTCACCAGCGAGGGGAGCCTCTCTTTGCAGGGTTCTGGTAGGACCCCAACCCTTTGCCAGGTGACGGGAGTGGGTGTGAGTGGGGAGCTGCCGACACCTGCCGCAGGGAGCCACGAGCGCAGCCATGCGGTCCAGCCCCCACTTCCCCACGCAGGTCGTGCCTACCAGTGTTTGGACCATGTGCGGCCTCTGTAACCTCAAGCTCTTCACCGTCTGAAAGACGTCCAGAATCCCTTCGGCTTTGACCCTTTCCAGGACAGTGCCCAGTGCACAGAAGGTCCCTGTTCGCCCGGCTCCAGCACTGCAGGGGGTGGGGGAGAGCAGAGAAAACGAGCGGCACATGAAGCCCTTCCTGCTGCCCCAGAGATCTCGCCGGAGGGGGGAGAGCCGAGTCCTCCCGCGCAGCTGCTGTGCTCTGGCACAGTGTGCCTCGAAGACGGGCCAGTGGGAAGCTCCTTCCACTCAGTGCCCTCCTGTCCACTCCGGGAAGAAGGCGGGCTTGGGACCCTCCCTGGGGGGGCCACGTGGCCCACCCCTGCAGAGGGAAACAGCATGCAAAGGGCACTGAGCTCTGCTGCAGAGGGAGGGCTGCCCCCCCACACTGGCTGCTAAGGGGCTGGGAGCCAGATGCAGAAATAGGCGCTGCCAGCCCACAGGGCGGGCACAAAGTCCCCCTTACAGACCGACTGATTCCCCGGTATCAACCAACCCAGACCCCACAAAGACCTCAGAGGCGCTTCTCCAGGTGCTCCCCCCAACAAGACACAACGCATTTCCTGTAAAGAAAGGGGTGTCTTGGGGGTGGCCCCCGAAAGGGGGCACCCCTCCACAGGTGTCCTGGCACCAGCTGAACTCTTTTGAACTCACGCTGGCCTTATTTACGGGAGCTGAATTCCACAGCTGCAGCTGCATGGCTTCACTGGTCTGCTGCTGAACCGCTCCTTTTGTGGCGTGATGTTCGAACGACAACTGAACGGCAGCCACTGATGCCGACCAGCCTTTCCTTGAAGGCGGGCCCTGAGCCAAAAGCCAGTGCCTGCTGTGGGCTCGGGTCCACCTTCACGACCTGCACCTCGCCCCTCGAGGGCCCCGGGGGGGCGACTCTTGCCGGTTCCCCCTGCCTGGGAAGCCCGGCCGCACGGGCCGGGCGGCAGGCGGCGCCGCTGGCTTACCTGCAGTGCACAGTGATGGGGTGGTTCCCAGACTGCTGCTGCTGCTTCTGTACAGCTGCGATGATGTTGATCATGCCTTTCCCGTCGGTGGGGATGCCAACCTCTGGCCAGCCATGGAAGTGGAACTGTCGGATTTGCCGGCTTTTGTTTTCCTGGGCAGGCAAAATCGAGAAATGCTTAGAAAAGCCAAAATCCCGAGGCTCGGGGAAGAGGGGCTGCCTTGCCTCCCGGACGGCAAAGGCCCACGTGCCCAAGGCCCTCCGTGCTCAGCCCCAGCCGCCTCTGTGGAGCGTCCCGGACACCTACCCTGGTATTCGTCACCAGCAGGTCCCGCACAGTGTAGCTCTCACACTCCTCCTCTTTCTTCAGCTCCACCGTGATGTCACCGTAGGACACAGGCCCGTCGGAAGGCCAGTACTGGGCACATTTCTCCTGAGGAGCCAAAGAAGAGGTGAGACGGCAGGGGCCGGGGAGCGAGCCTCACGCCCCTCTCGGGCAGGGCCAGCAGCCCTTCTGCCTTGAGAGTCTCAGGCCGCCGGGGCTGCTGGGCTGGGAGCAGGCACAGGGCCGCTCCCCCATAGAGCTTAAGCTTGCCCTCCCTGCAGGCCGGCATCACTTCACTCTCCCCGCCACTTCCGAGATCAGCTGGAGAAGGGAGCAAGTTAAACGCAGAACAGCGTATGAGGGGGGACCACATTCCCACCACAAGCCGCACTGCGAAGCGGTTGTGCTGAGGAAGAGGCGTGCTGGAATGAGTCTCCCCGTTCACTGCCTGGCCCAGCTGCGTCACGGCGGTGGCGGGGCAGATCTGGCCTGGACAGCAGTAGGGCCTCCTGAGCACTCGAGGAGACCCTAGTCAGAAAGCTGCCAAGGGCCACGTGTGGCCCGTGGACAACGAGTTGCCTGCCACACTCCAGAACCCTTCAAGACCCAGTGTGCGGTCCTGCTGACCGAGTCCAAAACGAGGGCTCAAAATGCAGTCAGGAGACCAATTTGGATCTTGCACGCACTCCTTGCCAAAAGATGCAAACCCAGTATCGGAAGCAGAATAATTACTGCAATTTATTTAAGACAGCAACTCTCTGCTCTTGCACTCAGAAGCTAGAATTCAGGTTTCCCTGGCTATTGGGATGGACAGATTCCAGCTAATCTCAGGAACCAACTGTGACTTACGGCTGTCCTTCCTTTCCCTGCATTCCCTTTGTCTGCAATGCATGCAGAACTCCAGGAAAGCAGGCGGGGACCCTGCAGAGAGAGCCCTCCTCTGGGCGAGCGGACTCACAGGCGAGATTCCTAGTTGCCGCCAAGGGTAACCGGGCACGCGCATTTGCAAAGCCTGCAGGATGCGGCCTGCCTGGGCCTTGGCTCAGTCAGCGCACAGGGCTTGCTAACGGCACGCACGATCCTACTACTGAGCCAAGGCAGCCAGACCTGAGCTCTGACAGCCAAGCCAAGAGAGTCTCGCCTTCCCTGTTCTGAGAACAGGAAGCCTAACAAAAGGCCCCGAATTCACAAAACGAAGAGCTGGGTGGAGGAACGAGGCCTGTAAGTGTCCACTCGCTATATGCAGTCCTTACCTCTTCGATCCTCTTGCTGGCTGCAAAGACATTATGAACGGATGAAGCTGCCTGACACTCCCTGCTGGACCTCTGGCCCATCTATCCTGGCACTGTCTACCCTCACAGGACTCTCCCAAGTAAGGTGTCTGGCAGAGCAGCTTTCCCAGGTCTGCCACCTGAGATCCTTTGAAAGAGAAGACGCTGGAGACTGAACTAACACTTGTGCATGCAAACACGGGCTCTCCCGCTGAGCTCCTGGCCTTCCGAGGAGGAGGCAGTACTCTGTCTTCTTCCTGTGTTTCCGCACCAGGTGAGTCTCCGCCCCATTAAATGGATGAAGCAGCTCCAGAACTCAGTAACATCCCAGTTCTCAGAGTGCTGGCTCAGCAAATCTGTGAGTTCCATTGCTTTATAAATGGCCACAGGTATGTGCTGGGTGGACCATGCTCCCCCGGTGCTCACCTGACCCCTCTCTTCCAGCTCTGTCAGCATGACAATGGAGCAGGACTTCCACTCCCAGATCATCCTCCAGAAATCCTCTATCGTGTGCTGGAGAGGGCCTTGGCTGGCTATGTAGGAATCCTTCTGGCGGTAGCCCTGGAATTTCAAAACATGGTTAACTTGGAATATTAGACCTTGCAGCAAGTCCAAAAGTACTAAACAGCTGTTCCAGCAACAACTACTAACTTCCAGAAGCTCTTCTGCTATCAAAGAGAGGTTTCAGTTTTGAGAACAGATGATGCTTTTTCTTTCCTCTAGGTAAAACGAGGACACAGAGGAAAAGGAGCTTAGTCATTTGGACTAAATATAATCCAACCAACAAGGGGAGCAAACTGAATTCTCAGGTGAAATGTCTGCTAGCCAAAGGGCTTTTGACCTGGACTTCTGGCAAGCAAACGTGGAGGGAAGGAGGCCAAACGGAGTGAGTGCGGGTGCTGCACCCGGCCCCACCAAGTCAGCCCAACACCAGATGCAGAAGATTACATGCAAATGCTATTTTAAATCCTCCTAGAATAACCAGAACCCTGTGCAAACACGAACATGAATTGGAGCAGGGAGTTGGCAAGCTGGTGCCGACTGCATGTGCTGGCCAACAACTCCCATAAGCCACAGCCAATATGAGGAATTGTCAGGAATTATTGGAAGTATATTCCTAAACATCTGACAAGTGCCAGTCTGTCTGCGACAAGACGAGTTCGAGTTGCCCTTGGTGGCCCCGCTGATCGGACTGCTTGGTTCTTAGGGATGTAGGAAGCAAGGACATGGTAACTGGCCAGGACATCTCCAGTTATATTATATTGTTGTTATTTATTTATTGTTGTAAGCCGCCCCAAGGCTTTGGCGAATGGGGCGGCATAAAAGCTTTCTAAATAATAATAATAATTTTAAAAATGGTAACAGCAAGGAGTCTCCGTCAGACAAAGAGCAACTCACGGCGTATTGCTCAATGGCACAACTTAAAAGTTCTAGCAGAGAAACTCCTTTAACGCCACACCTTCTTGCTCTGCAAGTGACTGGGGTGGGATGAATAAGGAAGACTCCATTTTAAAGACCATTAACAGAACTGAGAAATGTTTGAGGTTTCCATGAAAACCAGCCACCCACCCACAAATGGCATTTCTTTCCACATCGCTGGCAGTGGGAACACTGCACAAAGCTGAAGGAAATGAATGGGAACGAGCGAAAGTGTGGATAGATTTGACTATTAAGTCACCCATGGGGAATGCCCGCAAGTTCCCCGTCTCACAAGGCTAAGTAATTGTCTACAGTGACCTGCATGTAGAGAAAATGCCTGAAAGTGAATAAAAAGGGAATCTTTACACTACTTGCTTCTACCCAGTGGTAAACATACGTCCCACTCTGGCCTTAAGGGAGAAGGGAAACAAAACAGGTGAATTGCAAACGAAGTTTGGCATCAAGCTGCAACAGTGGCCTAAAAAGGGAAAGTTCAACTTTAAAGTGAAGTGTATGCCTTGCTTTAAACCTAGATCTGGTTATTTAGGTCACTGCTGTGATTTGCTGCTGAAATTTTCTGTTGCTGCCACCGACATTCGGGGGCACGCAGCACTGATTCAATCCCTGAACGGCCTTGGGAGCCCTCACTGAGCCCATCCTGGTTGACACCTTTAACAGACTCGTTGAAAAACTACCTCTGGACTTGGTAGCACTTCAGGCAGTGCCTTAAAGGCTGCACTTTGGAATGCTACGACAACCCTCTCTGTTCACAGAAAGACAGCATGTCAGGGAAAACACTAGGCAGAATGCTCTTGCCAGAGTCACTTGTTTTCTACATGCAGTGAGGTGCCCACATGATGGAGAAACAGATTTCAGTCCCCGTCTACCACTATAAGTGGCAAAGTTGAGGGAAAACCCTACCATGGAATTGTGCTGAACAGTGTAAACTCGTTCTGATGCACTGAACAGACGGGTTGGATCTGAGGACCTGGTTTGCTTGCATTCACCAGACCAACGGGCCCGCCTGCAATCTTGCCAAAGCCCTGTTTTTAATGTGCTCTCCTATACCTCTGTTACGAAGTCACATCAGTAGGGAGTAAGCAGCGAGAGAATTCACCTTGGGTGACAGCAGGTTTACAGAGGAGCTTCTGTTTACCAACATGTGTCAGTAGAAAAGTTATCCAAACAAGAAAAACAAGCCTGAAAAGATTCAAAAGCTATCTTTCCACTCTAGGGCTAAGTTCGACGAGGGTTATTCAGCAAACACTGAGAGAAGAATGAAGGCCAGATGAGGGAGGGGAGCCACTCACGTCGATAAATGAAGCATTCACGTAGTCTGTGTTTTCCTCGCCCCTCTTCACTGGAATGATCACTCGGTTGAACTCATCTGCAAGCAAACACGGTGACAATTTAGGGAGTAACTGGCAGCATGCACAGAGGCGGGGGCACTGGCTTTGACATGCTGGTGCTCAGCAAGATGGGCTTCCACAGCAGTGCCCCAAAGGGGAGGTGCAAAGTTTCAGTACTCACACAGGACAAGAAAGGCTGTTCACTGAAATGCATAGGTATTTTATAAGTAAATACTGAGACTACAGAAGTAACCAATGAACTTCTGCTTAATTGCAGGCCATGGTTCACTGATGCGATGTGACCTCCCTTGTCATTGTGCAAGTGCCATCGCCAAACCCTTGGTTTTTCCTGAATATCAGAGCAATCCGCCTTCCCCACCTCTCCCCCAGCGCAAAAGGCACGTCTTCCAAATGCTTCTGCCAAATTCCACTGCTCCCACCCCACCCCACCCCAGCCATTTCCGTGCCTCGCTTCTCCCGGCTGCGCAGGTCACTTACACGGAATTATCTGCAGCACCCTGTTCTTCTTCATGTTGGCTGGCAAGTTGCCTGTCCTCATCTTGTCATTCTGGATTTTGATTGAGGTTAGTTTCTGCAGGAAGAGATGGCCAGAATTCACCTTTCCAAAGGGATGGAGAGATCTTGGAGCAACAGAGCACACACTCAGCCCTCCCTCCTTTCCACTTTCAGCCAGCTGCCTGCCTGCCTGCCTGCCTGTTGTTCCTTTTAGGATCACGGAATCGGGAAGACCAAAAGCAATCCAGCCCAACTCTTGCCCCAAGTCAGGCATCTTCACTCCTGCCCCAGACCAGCTTCTTAGCAGTTAGCCACAAACAGAAAGTAGCTGCACAGCAGAAGAGTGCTTGCAGCAACAATAACAAGGGAAAAATAATGCACCAGATGGCTGGCTTGTTGGGTGGAGGACAACCGACTGGCTTGCCATGCAGATGGCTTGGTGGGAGGGCTCAGAATTCTGCCTGAAAGGCTTGGCCGCTCCAAACTGCGAGATCAGAGTCACTGCATCCATTGTACACCTCAAAGGACATGAAACCCCAGCTCATGTCCCCGGTTCCTCAGAGAGCTTCTCCAAGGGATTCCACAACTGCAGCTGCTATGAGCAAAGTGCATGCGGCATCACCCATTTCTGAGCTCCTGAGAATGCGGACTCTACAGCTCCGGCGGGGAAACGGAACTGGCTGCTCGGTCTTCAGAAGCAGTGGAGCGCTCAGGGGCGGCCTGGGTGCCTCCTAATCGCACAGCTTCCTAGTGCCCAGGCACGGGCAGCTCTCACCTACCTTGAACTCTTCCTCCAAGCCATTGCAGCTGGTCCCAGGAATTTTGTTGTAAATCTTCTGGAGGTGCATCTCCAGCGAGGTCACCTCTAGCTCGGTGTCTCCATACAAATAATGCTCCAGAAGAGCTTGGTAGATGAAGACGTACTGCATCTGAAGAGGAGAGAACGCTCCCGTGAGTCTCTCTCCGCATCCGGCTGGGGCCACGCCCCTTCCTCGTTCAATGTGTTTGCAGAGCTGCCCTGTGAGGGCGTCTATTTAAGTATATGAGAACTTAAGGGCCATCTTTCAGGACTCCAGGCCTAAGCAAAGTCACTCCCATAAAAAAGAAAACATCAAGCAATAGACCTGGACCAGAGAAGCTGTTTAAGTGTAACTCTGGAGCCCTCCACCTTCCCTGCAAAAGCATCCGTGCTCTGGAAAACCAGGAGGAGGAGGAGGAGGAGGAGGGGCGGCAGCGGCGGCGGCAGCAAGGTGCTTCAGAGAAAAGTCTTTCTCCGCTCTGTCCTTCCTGCATATTTCCGTTATGACAAGAATGCTGAATTCTGCACCCATTACCAGACCGGGTGGCTTTTACTGGGTGGTGAATTTACACAAGTCCCACCATTAGGGCAAAATAAGGCAGGGATTCACTGCCTTTGAACTCTGATACCCCCAGACAAATGGACCTCAGCACAGTCAGCAGTGGCACATAAGCAGTGGTCCTCCCCCCAGCGCCCAGCCTGCACATGGGTCTCTAATGAGGTGCCCATGAGCGCCTGAATTTTTCCTTTGAATACCACTTTTTAAAGCCAAGTATATGGATTTATACGACAGGCTAACAGTGTTCTAGCAATTATACATCCACTTCAACAAAAGTGGACCAAATATCCAAGCAGGTATCCATTTGAAGTTGGCATCTATATGCCAACGATGACCTGTGCGATTATACGGAAAATACTGCAAGGTCCCCAGTCTGCTCCATTATAGGAGGCAAGGTTTGTTCGTCCAGTGTTGTAGCAGCAGTCTGTCAGCTGCCAAAAGGGTACAGAAAATCCATTCCCCCTTCTATTGGCTGATTTCCATGCAGAGAGAAATATTTTAAAGGGTACAAACATCACTGCATCTTAAAAACTGCCAGCGCAAGACTCACCTGCATAACCACCTCCTCACGACAGCAACAGCCAGGAGGCATTGCCAAAACACATTTTAAAGAGGCATTACCACCAGCAATTGGCCAAAGCAGACAATCCTCCTTAAAGGGATGTCGCTTAGTCGAATGAGACGCAACTCAGTATCCGCAGACGTGGCAGGCAGACGGCAAAGGGGTGGATGCACTGCTTGTTTGTGGGGGTGCCCGTAACCGCTTTCAAATCCCCCAAGTGTGCCTTCAAGCCCAAATATGCTGGGGATCCGTAGACTAGACAGCCGCTTCGCTCAACCGCCAGTGAGGTTACAGGTACAGTGGCCGCTAGAGGAGGAAATGGGGCAGGGAGTCCCGCCTTCTGTTGCACTGAATTCCAGCTCCCTGGAAAGTTCCCGCAGGGTGGAAGGCACCAACACAGTAACACAACCTGGGAATGATGCCTGAGGCACAGGGGGCCTTGTCCTTAGAACAGGAATCCTTCGATCCTCTCCCCTCTTGGGCACAGCAGTGCATCCAGCTTGGAAAGGACTGAGGGAAAGGGGTGGCGCTGGGACCCCATCCTCCAAATGTCCTCATTGCCAAACCAGCTTGGCATCTTCCTCCCGGTTCCAGTTGTCCGGAACTTTCCACTTTCCCTCCTTTGTTCTGTGTGGGAAATCAGGCCCATCACGCAAGATTCAGCAGGGCGTGGATGGAGAAAAAGAGGTGCGAGCCACACCTGGCCTGAAAGCACAGGAGCCAAAGTCCTTTGCAGGGATAAACCGTGGCAGGAGTGAGACGCCAGTGCTGTGGGCAAAGACCCCTTTCAAGGCAGAAATGGAGCTGCTCGGGTGGACTGCCTGCTGTTGCTGATGAGGACAAGCTTTGCAAGAAAGCCCTCTTTACTCGTGAGGAGGCACCATCACAGGAGGCCTGCCCTGCCCTGCCCAAATTCTGCTGGAATGTTCAAGGAAAGGCACAAGATCACATCACTAATCCTGCATAAGTGCTGCATCCCCGAATAGCCTAGGCGACTTCACTCGTGTGTCCAGAAGAGACTTACATCGGTCTGTACCATCTGGCAGCGCTGAGCCCGGATGCGGCTTACAAACCCGTAAACATCCACCTTCCTCTCGGAGTGCATCATGTCGAGCATGGCATCGATCACAATGAACGTTCCCGTTCTCCCCACGCCAGCGCTGGGAGAGGAAAACAAAGGAGAGAGGAGAATGGGGCCGTGGACAGTCCGCCTTGGCAGCCACCCCCACGTGCCCACATCACGACGTTGTGGGTGCAGGGAAAACGCGTAATTTAAAAACCCTGAAGTTCAGGCCCCCGTATTTGTTTCCATCCTTATCCCTGTCAAGAACTCCAAGTACTTGTAGGAAATTCCAGCCAGGGTAGGGCTTGGGACATTCTGCTGCCCAGCCAGGCGTTTTGGTTCCCCTGTGGCTGGGCCAGGAAAGAAGGTGTCCTCCAACCCCTCCATGAGGATCACAGTGGACTCCCGGCTGGCCACGGGTCCCTAGGCTCTTGTCCTTTATTGCTGAGCACTGCCTGGAAGCTGCGTCTTGGTCTGGCTAAGGAGCTGCCAGGCAGGGCTCCTAACCCCCACGAAGAGATGCCATTGCGCAGCTCTTCCAACTCAAACCCTTCATGGACTTCTTTTTCTGCAAGAAAGGCCAAGAAGCCAAGAAATATGGGAGGGTTAGAAACGGAGGACACTGTAGTCCGGATTCACTGCAGAGCTCTGTGAACAGGGCAGGGCAGTTGCACAGTAAGAACTCTGCTGCTGGAAGCGTGTGGGGGGAAGCCGGGTGGCTCTGGGACGGGGGAGCAGCTGTGGGGAAGGTCCCGAGGGCCTGGAGAGCCAGGAGGCCGCTGCAGCCCAGGGCACCCTGGCGAGGACCAGAGGCAGAGCCCGGACTGACCTGCAGTGCACGACGATGGCTCCCGCGTACTGCGGGTTGCATGTCTTCACCTTCTTCAGGAACTTCAGCATCCCAATGGGCGTGAAGGGCACTCCGAAGTCAGGCCAGCTGGTGAAGTGGAACTGCGTCACCAGGCGCTGAGGCTTTTTATTGGTGACGTCGCCCACCTGCGCAGAAAGGCGGAACAACGAACTGAACGCCTCTACTCATTAGCAGAGACCTGGAATCGCCCCATCTTCGCCCCCCTCCCACCAACTGCAAAGCCCCCTGCAAAGTCAGACTGAGGAGGGAGGGCATTCGAGGCTCGAAAGGAAGGCGGAGCGCAGAAAGTCGGAAGCGGCGGCGTGACCGCTCCTTTCACCAGCTCCAGCCTTTCTGCTCGTGTGTGTCGCTCTCCCCTCTCCCGCCCATCACAGCATCACACCACGTTTGGCAATGCCCGTCCCACCTCTTCCTCCCGGAGGCGGCTCAGGCAGTGTGGTGCAGTGGTGGGTGCTGGAGTGGGACGTGGGAGAATCATGCTCCGGGCCTCACTGGGCCATCAAGTTCACTGGGTAATTCTGGGCCAGTCACGGTCTCTCAGCCTAACCCACCTCACGCAGCTCGTGTGAGAGGAAATGCAGAGGATCGAAAGGCAGAGCATACACGGAGTAACCGGCAAACCAACCTGGAGCGCAGGACGTGCTGGGTGACTGCTCCTCCGTACCAACGAGGCGGAGGAGAGGGAGGAGAGGAGTGCTCCCAGGCCAAAGCCTGCTCTAGCTTCTAGCCCAGCCCAGCCCAGCCAAGCCACCCTACCGCTCTCAGGCTCTCTGGAACGGGCACACTCGCCTATGAAAGGGGCCACCTCACCAGCCTAATATAAATCCTGCAGGGAGGAGGAGCGGAGGACCGACCCATCATACCTGCTGAATGCAGAATTTCCGCACAGTGTAGTCCACCAGGACGGTCACATCTTCCACGGAGACCCTGATATTCCCATAGGTCCAGCAGCCCTGATCTGGCCAGTACTGAGCGCATTTACACTGCAGAGGAACCAGGGAGGGGAGAGACCAACACTCAGCTTAGCAGACGACCCCTCAACAGCCTCCAGAGAATCTCCCAGACGCTGCTTCCCCTGCTTATACACTGCCTCATATGCTCTGCACTGGACCCGAGCATTGCGCCTTAGCAGCATTTCCCAGCCACTGTATTAGGAGCCATGGGAAGGACCGGCAAGGCGGACGGACCAACTCTCCCCCATCCTGTTCCGTGCTAGTGGCACGCTAGGGAGGAGCCTGCTCCACCCTGGCGTCCTCCAGATGTTTGGACCGCCCGTCCCCATCCACTGCAGCTGGTCTGACTAATGGACAGCGATTCGGGGAGACGTTGTGCAAAACTTCAGGGGAACATCAGGTTGGGGCAGACGGCAGTAGGGGCAGAAGAGCAGCGAGCTGTTTCAGGAGGACCTTTCGGGGTCTGAGCAGTTCCTTAAGGTAAGTGAGGAAGCCTCACTCCAACAGTGCGGGTGTACAGCAGGCCTCCAAGACCTCACCACACGACCACGGAAGCACACCCAGCCACAAAAGGGTGAAGACAGCAGCCGTGTAGCTTGCGCGTCCCCAAAGCATCTTGCCAAGGAGGACTGGAGTTCTGGCACAAGCTGGGGAAAAACGGTGGTCTCACCAGGACGGAGAAACGAGTACGGATACGGCATGCGTGCAGCGGAGATGCACACACAGGTCTGTGCGCTAAAGGAATGGTAGACCGGAAGGGAGAAGTAACTGAGTTTTAGCTCTGCAGAGGATGCCGTGGCTTAGGAATGTGAGAGACTGCCTGATGGTGAATCAGACCTTTGGTCTATCTAGCCCAATGCTGCCAACACGGACTGGCAGCAGCTCAGCCACTTTTTCAGGCGAGATCTCTATATCCCTACATGGGGATGCCAGGGATTGAAACGGGGAGCTTCTGTGTGCACGGCATGTGCTCCATCACTGAGCTAACCTGCGTCTCTCAGGACTCTCCCAGCCCGATCTGCTTGTTGAGCGGCAAGCGTGGAACTGCTGTGTGGCCTCCTTTCTGGACACCACGCATCTTCTGCTTTCCTACCACGTTTAGTGGGAAAAGCAGAGTTCTTCCCCCAGATGTTATGCCTCCTGCAGCCGCCACTGTAATGAAAAGGCTCCGGAATCGGGCCTCAGGCAGCCACCCTTGTTTCAACGCCAATGGCACCGTCCACACGCACACCGTCTTGCTACCACACACACACGCTGCTTTCACACGGCTCTCTTTCCACCTGCCACAGAGTTTCTGCCAGCTGCTCACCTCTTTCCTCTCCTTCAGGTTGGTCACCATGACAATCGTGGCTGTGTTTTGCTCCCAAATCATTCTCCAGAAGTCATTTACAGTTTCTTCTTTTGGTCCTAAAAAGCAGCAGCAGCAAGCAGCAAGGGGGTGTTAATGACATGGTGCCAGGTAGATGAAAAGCTCCCCCTACTTTTTGAAAACTCAGAACCCACAGCTCGCCGGCCTGGCAGTGTCTACTGCAACTGCAAGGCACATCCTCTGACTAATCCTAACCCTGAACTGTGAGAGAAGAGAAATTTTACATCCCTTCTCCTTGCAACGCCTTTTTGGCTGATGAGTTTCTGAGGCACCACAACGTGCAGAAAGAAAAGAGTCTGTACTGAATTTCATCTCAGGATTCTGCTTGCAGATACACAGATGTTCCCTTGCTCTTTCCCAGCACATGGCAGTAGAGGGGCACTCTGCAACCCGCTACCGGCACAGTCCCCCGGCACTGGGCCCTTTCCATTCTTCAGCTGCAGAATGGGCCTGACTTTTGCTAGGCACGGCGGGCAGGCTCATGCACCCCGACCTCCCGTCCTGGCAATTTGGCACAGCAGGCTGGTTGTTCTGTGAAGAACCCACAATGAGCCTGACAAAACTGGAGTCACTGGGGTGCTTCACTTGCTCCCTCCTCCATTTCAGGTTCGTCTGTGCAGTGTCCTGGGGAACAATGCAGGAATCGGGAGGCCCTGCTCCAGTCCCGCTGCAAAGCCAAGCTGTTTTCAGCTCACTGCGGCTTATTTTGCCCCTCTGATTTCCTCCCAGAAATCTGGGATGCTGCCTTGACAGCTGGCTCTGCCCATCCCCGTATGGCCAGCCACGAGCGACCCCTTCAAAATGCTTAGGCAACCCGAGGGGTGCCACCTGGGGCTGCCCAGTATTGTTTTCTTGTGTGTGCACACAGAAATGTTTCCCCTCTGCCTGGAGTTCCTACAAGGCTTCGAAAAACATCTAAAGCATTGCCACTTTTTATTCTTACTTTACAGGAAGACTGAGCTTGACACAGAGCTGTCAAATATTTGTGTCACTAAAAAAACGGGGCCTGGGTAACAGAGGGGCATTTGTACTGGGATATACCTCTGCGTATGGTATGACCCAGTGCGACCCCCCCCTCCACCGGCTACTTTGATAGTTGTGGAGCAGCCTGCCATGGCTTCCTTGGCCAGTTCCTTGCTGCAGGGCTCTCCTCACTATGGGTGAGGCTGTCTGGATTCAGACAACACAACAACCCACTAAAACAAACCCAAGTTCTCATTATGGGTTGACTGAGAAAAAGAGCATGCCACAGGTCATCTATGCTGGGTTCACAGGACACAACAACCAACTTGGGATTGTTACCGCCGTCCAGTTATCATATTGGGTGAACCCCATCCATGTTTGCTCTTGACAGTATGTTCATAACCAGCTTGAGCAATGAAACCAAGCCTGGTTTCAAACAGACGACTCCTGTGAGCTGCAAACAGCTGGCTAAATGGGAATTTTCCGTTCCAGGGAAGAGAGGGTGTGATTTTGCGTGAGTTAGTTCTTCCAACATTGCACTGGCTACTTCATGACGGCTCCCTTGCTCAGCTTCCATCGCAGCATCAGAACCAGTCTGGAAACTCTCAGAAGATAGGAACAGACTACTAACACATTTCGTCTCCCCAGACTTCTGTCACTTCAGTATAGAAATCCAAAGAGCAATTTACCTTGGGCTGCAATGAACTTGTTCTTCTCTTGGTACCCCTGCCAGGACAAAAGCAACGAGAAAGTGAGGAAGGCCAGTTTTTCCCTGCAGCACAGAAGACAATTTCAATGTGTTCCCAAACACTGACGCCTTCTGAATATCATATATAAGCAGTCTTTTATCCTGTTATTATTATTTTTTAAAAGATACACTTTATGGAAGCCAAAGAGGAATAAAGTTTGGCTGAGGAGTTGGATTGGCTGAAGATGCTACAGTGAGAATATGCACCTGCTTTTCCTGTTTTTCCTCCAATGCCTGGACGGGAAGAATACACACTCTCTCCCAGAAAAACAGGTGTATCGAAATGGAGAACAAGCACAACTATTTTGGAACATTTCAGTGGAAACATGAAGAGGTAGGCGCATAAAAGAGTTGTTCTCCGTGGCAGACCCAGACATCCTATTTAAATGCCTGATACACCCAAAGTCAAAACCTCATGCCCAGCAGATTGTCTTCACTTCCCGAGATTTGTATTTTTCCACAGTGACTGGGCTTACCCAACACAACCCGTCATGACTAACTAGGTTAGGGTTAGGGTTCAGGTGGTGATGCTGTCTGAATGCAGACCGTTTCCCACAGGGTGGCTTATTTCTGAGCAGGCTGGACCCTGACATCCCATGGCTTGTTCCAGTAGCTGCTTGATCCATGTCGGGTTGCCAAGTCATCCAAACCTGGGAGATTATTCCACTGGACTAGCAAGCTACATAGAAAGATGGCAAAAATTCACAATTTCATTCTTGCCACGAGAAGCTACAACCACTCCAGGAATGCCCAAATAGCACTTTGGAGTGACCCCCACCCACAAAAAAAAGCTGGGGGAAAAAACAAATTTGTTTCCTTTCGGAGCTTCAAAAAAGCACAATCAAGCACCACCGCCATAGAAAATGTCATGATTTAGTTGTTTGTCATTCTTGTTTTTAACGGGTCAGTCTTTTGAGAGCGCACAAGTGTGCACTTACAACGGTCTGATAGGTGTGGTCTTTCCCTGCAAGTTTCAGCTGTCGAAGGCAACCGCAAAATTGAGTGGGCAAGCCAAGACTTCCTATGGGCTAATTCATGCACAGCTGCCAGCTGCACAGCTGTCAACTGAAAATAATGGGGGGAAGAGGACAAAGGTAGCTGCACCAAGAGCAGGATGGCAGCTCTCACGGTTCTCTGCTATTTCAACATATTTTTGACCTGCCAGGGTCCTGCAGAAACCATAGCAGGAAGTGTTCTGAAAAGAAAGGAGAATTAAGATCTCCTGCTTCTGGAAGAGTGGGAGACTTGGGGAAGTGCTGGAAACATGCAGGGTGCGTTATAAAGACTGTCAGTTCAACGCTTAAAGTCAGAGGATTGTCCTACTAGGGGATGACACGGTCATCACTCATTTTCACAGCTTTGTCCTCTTTACTTTGTGCTTGATGCAGTTTTCCTTGTCAATTTCCATGCAGTCCTGCTCCGTCAATTTCCACGTACTTTACCCACTCCAGTCTGCTGCTCTCTTTCGCAGCTGATCCTTACTCGGCCATTGACAGGGAAGGAATACATATACTGGAACATCCTAAGTATATACTTAAACATCTGTGAAACCCCAACAAAAATAGTAATAATTTTTGAATGAGCATATGTGCACAATTTTCTGGGGCTGGGAAAGAATTACCCCAATGGCACCTTTTTGAACCTCTAAAAAGTAAATAAAAAACAGGCAGTAAACTAAAAGGAGCCGCTATCAGTGCAAGGATGGGGCGACAGGATGGATTCTGCTGGAAAGGATACTGGGATGCCAGCTGCAGGGCCAAGGGGGAAGGACAGGAGAACAAACCACATACTACGTAAGTCCAATCACCTGTGGGGCTCACTAAGGATTGTTTCATGGACAATCCACACTGTGCAGCTTATCTGCATGGTGCGTAGTGTGTTGTGTGAACGTGTCCTTTTTAAAAGATGGATGGATGAGAGAATGAGAAATGGCAAGCAGCATCTCTGCTCCTGACTTTGCAGCCCGTTTCATGTGTACAGCGGATGCTGCTAGATGTTCACTAAACACAAGCTGGTAAGGGCAAGACCCTGTCAAGAGAAGGCCGAGATGCAGAACAGCCCACGCTGTGTTTCTCGAAGGAGCTTCCTGTGTAGAGAGACCATTAGTCCACCTAGCTAAAGACCATCTACTCCAACTAGCAGCAAGTGCGATGCCCCCAGCTGAAGACTTTGCCGGACTTTTTGTTCCTGACCTTTAAATAGTGTTTTAATGCCAATGCAGCCTGGACTGTGATTCCATCAGGGCCCTCAAAAGTCACATTTTGCATCAAAGAAACAGGGAGGCGGGGAGGACAGACAGACATGAGAGAGAAAGAAAGAGTGTGGGAAGGAAAGCAAGAGAAGAGCAAGAGCTGGGCGCCAAAACAAATAGGACACACAAGCACAGATAAGGGAATGGTCCATCATTTGTGTGACTGGGCACCCGTTCCCTACAGCACTCAGTGTTGGGGGATCCCAGTGCTCTTTTCCAAAATACCAAACGTGCTCATGGGTCCCAAAAGTTAGGACACTCCTGCTCTAAGAATCAGAAGGCCAAAGTAAGCCACCTGGTTTTGGAGATGCTTGGCTAACAGTGGGCATGAAGCACCAACCAATACTGTTGCATATCTCTGTGTCAGTGAGGGAACGTGCACAAGCCCCAGGGAAATAGAAAAAGAGAATCAGAGCAAGTCAGAAGGGGTCTCCCGGGCCATCTAGTCTGACCCCTGGCTCCAGTCGGCTCTGCTCATGACATGCCCGTCATGGAAGCCGTGAGGTAGAAATGCCTGGTGAATCAGACCTCCTGCCTGAGTATGTTTTACGCTCCTGAGAACTAGAAACTCGCTTGATATGCAGAGCAGTGATTCTAAAAATTGACTTCACCACTGTGACTGCAGCCATGCAGATCTGTGGACTGCCCAGCACAGGGCTAGGAAAGACAGGCGTGGCTGGTGGGGAACATTGTTATGGCGAGGAGGTCTCTCCCTGTGCTCCATCCAGCAGATACTTACATTAATGAAGGAGGCATTGATGTAATCAGAGTCTGGGACCCCTTCGAGCGGTGTCAGATGCACCCTGGAATGATCATCTAGGGAGGAAGGCCCATTAAAAGAAAAACTGTCAGGGCAACATTTCAACTGAGAGACATCAATATTGTTACATGCATGCAGAGAGAAATTAGAGCAGGGAACAATCAAGAAAAAGCAACCCATTTCAAACTTTGCCCAGAGCTTTTGCAGCTGAAGGCCCATCTCTTCTCTGCAAGGTTCTGCCATGCCCCCTCAACACTCGCCGATGCGTGCTCGCTCTCACTCTCAGTGTCTGTGTGTTGTATTAACAAGCCATCAGAACGACGTCTTTTTGCTTTCAGCTTCCAGAATGAAGGCGCACCGCATGTGGGTGCTATTTATCGCTCTCGTGCTTTAAGAACAGTGGCTGATATGGTCTGGCTCCTCCAGATTGTGCTACCCTGTCACTCCTCTGGCCACCCATAACGAGCACATCTCCTAGACAACCCCCCTCCCTTTTAATAATTATGGCATCCCTTTTTCATTTTGGCATAAGGACAGATGGGTCAAGGCAGACAGCCACCACGCTGAAGAGCACCCTCACTCCAGTTGCATCTGGAGAAACACAAGCTTATTTGCACATAAGATAAACACTTTAGAAACATATGCATATTGTCGATTATATTTAGTGCAATTAAACCACAAAGCCATCTATCGTAACAGAAGAGGACATGAGTCTGTCCATCAGCACTAGAGCACCAAAACCATGAACCCTAGAGAATGACGGAAACCCCCTGGCATGCATACTGGGGAGTGCCAAAGGTGGTTGCCCGCCTGGCGGAGATGGGCGTGTTGTGTGATCGAAAGCCACACCTTCACCATTACATAGCTCTGTGGTCCACCCAGTCTGAAACCACAAGAAATGAGCAGACTGAGGCACTCTTCTGCCTGCCGCTACGGGGCACGGCATCCTTCCCGAGGGGAATGGAGTGGGCAGACCACTCCCTTAGGGACCTCAGGGGCACCCCATTCCTGTGCCATGCCTTGGAGGACCAGCAGGCCTGGCTCTACTCTGCCAGAATGGGCACTGCATGGCTATTGCAGACAGCTGTGTACATTTGCCTAAAGACTCCCTGAATCAAACTAAGAGCTCTTCCAGCTTATGCAGAGCCGGGTCTGGTGTGCTAGCTTTAAGAACGAAATAGCCAAACTGTCCCTGTTAGCCATGCAGAAGGAAGCAAGAGCTCTGAGTGACCTGGTTGTGGCTGCTATGAGCAGCACTTTGCAAGAGCAGCCAAAGCTGCGTGACCTTGCACTGCCCCTGCTGGCGAGACCCACTCGCAGCGGCAAGGTGGAGGAAGAAAGAGCAGTGCTGCCCCTCCCAAATCCTGGCTCGGACTCTCCCTGGCAGCCCGTGGGCTTCTCTGGGCCGCAGTCTGGCTAGACGGCAGTCAGGCTTGGCCTTCTTGCTCCACTGCAGAAGTTTCTCTGAACCCTCCTAACTCTACTGTACCTGAATCTCCACTACCACCCATGACCAAACTTGCTGCAGAATGCGAGCGTCTTTCTGGAACCTGGCCTTTGGATGGTGCTCATGGGCTGTGTGCTGTTGGACCATGCATTTGCCTGAACCTTCTGGTCTCGCTGGCTCTTGACCCTGGAGCATTCTAAGACGTGCCTCTGGCCCTCTAGACCCGGTACAAGCCTCCGCCCTGCATCTGCGCCCGGTCCCAGCGCCTTGTCTGTAGCCACCCATGCCCCGGACCTCACAATCTGCACTGCCCATTACAAGGCTTTGGTCTCGCCCCATCCATCCCAGTCTTGATCATCTTAAGTCGCCTGCAAGCCTGTAAGTCTCTAGGCAAGGACTGTACCACTTCCCTTCCGCATCAATTTAATTCACACCAGATTCGGATGGGGCATCTTACAATTACAGAACCATAATGCTGTTTGAGCCACAGCCAGAGAGCACTTAGGCACAGCAAAGGGCGCCAGACGTACAAGGCAAGATGTTCACGTATCTGTTCTTCTCCTTGTTTTCTTCCTTGGAGGCAGCTTCACAGGTGGCCTGGATGGGGCAGGCTGGGAGAGCCTGGGGGGAGGGAGAAGAAACAGAGTCCGGCTATTGCACTTCTGCTGAACTCAAGGGAGCAAAGCAAGCAGGAAGAGGGCCTTTGAACGTGAGTCCCTCGCAAAAGGGGTTAGGACGCTTCCACACCCCTCCACTCCCTTACCCCTTTGAAGTGTTGATTCCTGATCATTGTTATAATATCTGTTCTGCTGCTGCAAGTTATTCTTTCAAATGCCTCCAGGAAGGGCATTTCCCCATGGGGGAATGTCATCTGGTAGCTTTACAAATTCATTTTTACACAATGACAAGGACCTCTGGGAAGAGATGCCAATGGTGCAGATGATCTAGCGCATGGCTGGTTAGCATGTGCAGCCGCTCCTTATGTGAGCAGAACGAATCCAGTCACAGGGCAGGGAAAGCGTTCAGTGGCGCGACGAACAGGTCACCCTGGGACGATCTAATCTATAGTTTGGCGTCCTGCAACAGCAGCGGGTTGGACCTGATGGCCTTCCTAGCCCCTTCCAACTCTGCTCTTCTGGATTCTGTGAACATATTAAAAGAAGGGATTCTGCCTAGCAACAGAAGGGGGCAGCAAAGTCTCCTCCGCACAGCTTCAAATTCCCTGACCTGGGTCAACAGTACTGGCCTCCATGCAACCTTTGAGATATGCAAATCTCAAAGTTATGAGCGGTGAATAAACCACTGAAGTGAGAAATCAAGAATAATCCATCTTCCTCTGCTAAGCTGGAACTGAAGGTAAATTTAAGCTTTCCCAGTTAGTCACAAGTAGCGAAAACCAGACATTCAACTCCAGATCTCCAGGCGATCTTGTGCAAGAAGCAGTAGGGAGGGAAACTTGAGCTATCTGGGCAGGATACACACCCTTAATTCTGCTTGCAATTTTTTTCTGTGGGTGCAGTGATTCGTAGGCTGAGGAGAAAAGGAGACCTAGCCTAAAATCCTCATTTAGCCATGAAGCTCATGCAGTTTCCCTCTAGCTGGTTTCTAAGTGGGCCTTCACCCCAGCCCCCACCGGCAGCACCCAGCCTGGTCAAAAGTCAGGAATGCTGGAACTGAAAGCCAAAACATCCTGGAGGGAAGGGGTCAGGTTGGGGGAAGGCTGCAGTAGGTCGTAGCTATCTTACCTGGTGAATGTACAAGTGTGCAGGTAAGGGTGTTTTGCCAAGAAAAGAAGACCAGTCTGATAAATAAGGCCTCAGGAGGGGCCTTGCTGGTGGTACCCAAACCCGCAGGATCGCTATTTGGCAGCCACCTGGGAAGCTCTGTGATAGTATCCACTTTACAGGATTCTCTCCCTCTCTGAATGTGGAAAATTAGTAAGTGTGACACTTGAGTCACTAGTTAGAAATGTACCATTTCTTGCAGGCCTTCCCTTACTGACGGGGCTGCTCAGCCTGACTGCCAGTTCCATGATTTTAAATGTTTCCACTGGTGTTTTCATTTTATCCTTTGCCTGTAAAAGTTTAATGGGGTCTGTGTTTTCTGCATTTACATGAGGGTGTTTCATACTTTAAAATGTTTAAGTTGTAAGCCACTTCAAGATGTCTTTTTGGATATAGTCGAATGGTCTATAAATAGATGAAATCAAGAAGGGAAGTTATATCACCCTTGAATGCTATTAGGAGGGTGAGTACCCGGAGGAGGGCTTTCTCTGCGGTGGCGCCCCACCTATGGAATGCGCTCCCCAGAGAGGTCCGCCTGGCACCATCCTTATTTGTTTTTCAGCGCCAGGCGAAGACCTTTTTATTTAAAACTTATTTTAATTGTTAATTTATTATGTAGGTTTTTTAACAAAAATATTTTTAAGCCGAGATGCACCGGGTTTTAATATTTTTATTGTATAATTTTTATATGCGTTTGTTTGTTTTTGTTGTGAGCCGCCCCGAGGCTTGGTTGCGATGGGGGCGGCAAGAAATGTTTTAAATAAATAAATAAATAAAATATTAGGGGATGCTAGAGACATCTCTTCAGAATCCATCGATGAACTAGGAATCCCAACCACTGAGCTGCTGCCATGGCTGTCCCTGCAGGGGTTCAAACAGTAGCAGCATGCGGTCACCTCTCCCAAACGGGGCTCAGGCCCCTCTCACACACACTTAGCCTGGGTGCTCAGCAGCCCAGATGGCAGGCAATCCCACCCCAGCGGCCCGACAGCATGGATCCAACATGCCTATCTCATCCGCACATGCGCATAGCTAAGACTCCACTGGGGGAGTGGCCCACACTGAAGGGAGGCATTCAGTCAAAGAGGACAGGAGCGAATTGCAGGCACAGGGCTGCTTTGGCTTAGATCAATAATGCAGGAACAGGGTCCCACCAGGAAAACAGGAAGAGGGTGTGAAGGAACCTGGAAAGGGGCCCAAGGAGCGGGGCCAAATGAGGGCAGGCCAGCATCCACGTTCCTCTAGAGCGGTGTGATGTGGGCGGGGGGGGGGGGGGGGGGAGGCACGGCAGAGAACCACGAACTGTGCTTCAGACATCTGAGCACACGGATATACCCAATCCTGCCATCTCCTAGATTTTCAAATGCAAACCAGGAACAACAAAACATTATTCAGCTTTGTTAGCGAGCTAGAAGGGGTGCCTCACTGCTCTGGACGCACCTTGCACTCCTTGAGCTGGGAAGCAACTTTAAATATTTCTGCATGCCCCAGTAAATGTTACTGCATGCTAGTAACCCACACTAGCAGGATGTATCATTCATTGCCTTTGAGAAGCAGCTTAGCAGTAGCTGATAGCCTTCACTGGTAAACTACAGAATGACCTAGTTATCGGTTATTCTTGCTAGATTAAAATGGGTGTCTTTGGATATCTATACAGAAATGGTGGATTTTTAACAGCTGGAAGGAAAGGAGCAGCGGCTTACAAGGGGCCTGAGCTTGACTGCACCTGGAAAACTCTACTGGCCTTTTTAGCATAACTTCAACACATGCAGGAATGCAAAGGGTAGTTGGCGGGGATGGGGAGGGGGCAGGTTACCAAAGCACCTACATTGAACTCCTCACGGAAGAGTTTGTTGTCGTCTGCCATTCGCCGGTTGATCTCCTCCTCCAGTTTATCGACAGGCAGCGGTGGGTACTTCCGGTTGGTGCTGGGAGATCTGGCAAGCAGTGGCACGCTTTGGGGCTCTGCGTCACAAGCACACGGAACAACCGCCAACAGGCTTCGGTTTGGAACAGGCACTGCTCAAAGGCTCTTCCCCCAGAGATTCCGCAAGCTCCTGTACCCTCCCTTGTATAGCTAAATCACGAGAATGGGCAGAAAGAAGCTCTGTTGCGCTTCTGAGACAGCTGAGAGCATCAAACACTGTCCCAGAAAGAGGTGAGCGAAGGAGCAGCTAGAAGCATCCCAGAGGCTGCAGGAGAGGCCTTGTGCCTTTAGTGGCAGTGCAAGGGACGGAGGCCCACGTTATTCTAAAGGTTGGTGGAAGGTCTTTGACTCCGATTTTCCTTCTGCAAACCGAAAAATTTCCATGAGCATCATGGAACCCCCTGCTGAGGTTCCCCAGATGCCTGTGCCTTTTCCTGGCCAATGGCCGAGCGGTTTTACGGCTTCTGTGCAGTTTTTTCTCACCCCAAGAGGCTGAAGAGATTCTCCGAAGGCTCAGTTACTGACAGTAAGAGCTTTAAATCCCTTCTACCTTCAGTCCAACACATAACTGGAATGTGGCCCAGCCCTCAAAAGCGTCTCCAAAGCTGGGTTTGGCCCTCAGCCTGAAACCGGCTCCCTGTGCTTGCCTTAAACGGATTTCAGCACCTGACGCTCAACAGCCTCGGACCACCTTGGCAACATCCTGCTTTCACTGCACAGGTCAGTGAGCGGCCAAGGAACACGCGAGAGCAAGGATATCCATCGTGGCCCGTGTGAAGGGAGCAGCAGCATTTACTGGGAAGCGTGTGCCGCAGCTGCACCAACGCGAAGGGGCTGCTGCGTGACCAATCTCGGGGCCGGGGGAAGTCCAGTGAACTGGCGCCCCTCAATTTAGCCTCAAGCACACAGGCCACAAGCTCAGGCGGCCACCGTTTTACCCAATCCCCGAAACATGCTGTGGCGAGAGGAAGGCTGGCTCTGGGGGATTCCAGCCTGCAGAATGGGAGGAGAAACCTGAGACTCACCCATGTCATCTGTCCGGCCATTGGACAAGTGAAAAGAGTTGGAATGACTCCCAGCTTGCTTGTATTTTTTAAACCTGTGAGAAATAATAGATAGGAGAGATCAGCTGAGGGGGGTTCATTTCTGAAGTTCCCAACATGCTCTCTGAAATCAGGCTTTCTTCTCCACGCAAGTAGTTCTTTTCAGGGACTTAAAAACACAGCGGCCTGCCAATGCCTAGCATCAGAAGCTAGCATATGGCAATGTCAAAAGGACTGCTGGGGGAACGGGCACAGAGAACCTGGAATTACGGTCAATAAATGAAGCCAAGTCCAACGCGCCCAACAAGCCAGTTTAGGAGCAAGACCAGATCTCCTCCATGTGACCAAGCCCAAGGGCAAGAGGGTTTTTAACAAATCAGCGAGGCCTGGGATAGTATCCCTGAAGGTTTAGAGGAGGCTTCATGTCATATCCTAAATGTTAGTGTGCTCACATCCATGTGAGTAAGAACAATCGTGACGCTACAGAGCTTTCAGAGTAGAATGCAGAGCTCTGGACAGCAACTCTTTCCCTGGCCCAAGCTTCTGCTGAAGGCAGTCACCTGGTGCTTGGGCAACCTTTGCAGGCAAGTCCTAAGAAAGACCTTGAATGGCCGCCTGTCCACACATAGCTGTGTCCTCCATTTATAGCACACACAGCCGCAAAGAACCCCCACCTATTCCGGACGAGCTCACAAAAGTCTCCCTCACTGACTGCAGATATTTGCCTGCCTGCCAAATATGACCAGGTGAGTGGTTATTCACCAGTCCGTGGCCAGGGAAGGGGCTCTCTCAATCTGGGCACCCAAATTACAGACAGCACGCAGCATTTAAGAGAGTTCCTGTGATGCTTCTCACGCAACGCCAACAGCTCAGCAAGGTGCTCCCCAGAGGAGCCCAGCCGCTTCCCTCTGTAGCGTGATTTGGCAGGTAAAAATCTTTTCATTCACTCCAGCATGTACGCATTTGGCTGGAACACTGCAATCGACTCTGGCTGTATGGGTTTTTAATCTGACACCTACATTTATAAATATCTTTTTCATATTTTATGACAAGGTTGGGTGGTCTTCATATTTATCTGCTTTTACTATAAATTGCCTTAAGTATATGAACAGACTGATAGCTTTAAAATAAATCAAAACCTGTGGTTTTGAGCAATGGGTAAATGATTGGTTTTAAAAGAGGAGGCACTTTAGCCCACAACCACAGAAAGGGTAGCTATCCACTGAGAGCAGAACAGAAAACATCTTGCACAAAACAGAAGCTCAGGGGCCTGGAGCACATAAAGGCAGAAAGAGTGTCTGCACACATGTCAATGAAAATGGCAACAATGCGATATTTGCATATGGGTGATGTAGCATTGTACCTAAGTGGTGGGGCAAGTTCTCCCATGAGTCATCCTCACACTGCAAATGCTGGGTTCACACAACACACCAAGCCAGAGTACAGGTTGAATATGGGCTGTTGTTGAATTGTGAGCTGTTGCATTGTGCAAGCAACCCAAGTGAACTGCCCAGAACACTTTGGCTCTTAGCTGGTATATTACTTTGCATTTCCATCTCAAGCTTCTCCTCTCAGGAGGAACTCAGGGCAGCTTCCATAGCTCCATTTTCACCCTTGCAACAACAACCCTGTGAGGTAGGCTGGGCTGAGAGGCTGTGACTGGCCCAAAGTCACCAGTGAGCTTCATAGCCAAGCGGGGCTAGAAGCCAGGTCTCCCAGCTCCCCAGTGCAACACTCTCGCCAGAGCATCACAAAGTCTCTAGTATGGAAATGTAATTAATTTGGAAGAGGAGGAAGCAGGAGCCACAAGAACCAAAGAACGCTGACAGTTTGTTACTGGGTTGTGCACTGCAGGTTGTTCTTCATTTATTAGCACAGCTGAGCTCATACAACACAACCACAATTCAGCAACAGCCCAAACGCAACCCAGACTCCAGCGTGTTGTGCTGCGAACCAAGTCTGAGTGAAGAGGGTTGCCAAAGGCTACTTTAGTGGGTGATCTGAATCAGGGCCATTCTGTTATGCCTCTGAGGCAATAAAAGCAAAAGCAAAGCAAACAATAAAATTCTCATAATTTCTCTTCCTTCTGCTTCACATGTGGGCTCTCCCCCCCCCCCATGCACACATTCCCTTTCAAATGCCATTTCATGCAGATGGTCTGGGACTTCTGTCAATATTATCTTACAGTGGGTGAGAGTGAATAAAGGCAAGTAGGCTAACAAACCTACAACAAAGCTTCCAGTATCTCAGGCTGCAGTCTTATGCACAATTACTTGGGAGTAAACCCCATGGAAGTCAACAGGGCCTACTGCCACGTAAATGTGCCATGGACCACACGTGCAGCAGCTCAGGAAATGAAACTCAAAGCTCCTACTCCTGTATAATCTCACATGAGCTCTCAGAGAAGAAAAATAATGAAATTCCAGTCCCTCATCACGATCCACCGTTCCCATTACAGCTCCATTTGCCAAGCTGACAAAAGCCTTCCACAAGAAGACGAAACCAGAAATTCAAGTCCAGATCCTCAGAGCATAATTCTGTGGGCATCAGTAGGGGAAGGATCCCTAAGCTATCTGGGTATAGTCTGCACCCATAATTTTTCTACAACCCATAAGGGACGTAGAAAGGTTTTCCAAACATAACTTACCTTAACATGTATAGGACAATAATAATAAATACTATGACTAGCAAGGAAGATAATGCCACCATTACGGCGATGATAGGTGTCTCATCTAGGAGGAAAAAAAATCTTTTGGTTATTTCAAAACAGGTACATTGAACACCCCTGTAAAGCAACTTTTGACGCCTGTACTAGTTCCCTATAAAAGCCGTGAAGACAGGTTGATAGAAGCACACACTGAAATGTATTTCACAGCAGTTCCCCACATGCCCCTTGGTCAAAATTTTCACACCTTTATTTCAGTTCCCCATCCCATCCCATCCCACTAATGAACACTGCAGTTCTAGACTCTAAGCTCACAAAGGGAGCTCAGTTTCAAAGGAACACCCCCCTGCTGTCAAAGAGGGCGTCCTTGTGAGCACCACTTGGGGTTGAAATTAACATTTCTAATTTGTTGAGAAGTTAATTGGGCAAAGGCCCAGAGGATGTCCCCTCACTTCCAGGATCAGGGAGAGGACGTGCTTTCACCTACACGTGTTTTCAAACTCATTCTGTCTTTGAGGTCAAATTTCTGCCCATCCCTAGAGGAAATCTTACTCATTTGAAGGAGCAAGTATGCCTGAACAGATCTAAAGTGCGCTGAACCTCGATTGGAGGTTGAACCTCAGTTCCAAAGAATAACCGTTGGGTGATTCAGCTGATCTGGCATTTCTCCAATGCTGCTTAATGGCCACATGAAGCGGTTGGGAGCAGTCATTAGGAAATTTGGGGGCAAGGTCCCACCAGCATGCTAATGACACCCAGCTCTGCTTCTTTCATGATGTCTGAACCGGGAGAGGCCACGTTTACATGTGGACCAAGGGGATTTGGGGAAGAGAACCAAGGGGGCCAAGTACAACTGAAGTCAGTCCACTTTCATCTTACTGAATGCAAAGTGGAGGGGAAACGTGGACCATGCCCAGCAACCCTGCCCTAGAGCCCCAAGACAGCAGGAGGCGTCTGCACCTGTGCACAAAGCCTGCCATCTGAACCCTACAACGGCTTAAGGCAACCTGAGAAGGCAAATTGCAAGAGGCATGGTTATCTCAGCAGATTCCACAGACCTCTTACTGCTGGTTTCTTTTCATATGTATGCATGCTATTCAGTGGCCAATTTACATGTACTTAGTGCTCAATGAGGAAACTCCAGCTGAGTTGACTTGACTTGGTGGGACAGACATCTTAACACAAGGGCAGCTGCCCTCTTTGGGACACACACACACACACACACACACACACACACACACACGGCTAAAGGCTCCTGCCTCCTCTCAGGGATGCCAACTGGGAAGGCTGCTTCCCTCCCCCTTAGAGACCTTGGCTGCTCTGGGTTGCCACAGGAGGGGGAGACTAAAGCTCTGCTCCCCCAGAACCCTGATCAGGGCCTGTCCTTTCGCCTGGGCTGCAGGAAGAACTGGGTGGGTCTGCCCTGGGTGGGGTTTGTGGGCCACAAAGAACGTGGGCAAAGAGTGTGGCGCCCCCGGGTTCCTCCCCCATTTTTATGCAACAACACTCAAGTATCAAGTTTATATTCTGCCCTTCTTTCAAACACAGGGCTGTTCTTTCTTTGATTTCAACAACCCTGGGAGGTAGATTAGGCTGAGAGATCATTGACTGATGCAGTGCGCTTCATGCTTGAACTGAAACCTACCCATGTTATGTAATCCAAAAAAGGAATGGTAGATAAGCTAAAGTCAAACAAAGGGAAGTTCAGCAGATTTAAAAGAAGAAAAGATACTGAGCATTGCACATCGGCTGTATCTTGCAGCAGAAAAGAAGCGGGGATGCCTCATTTCGTCTCCGAGGCAGGCCGATATTCTGCCCCCGTTTGAGGTGTGAGCTGGATGTGGATTCTTCTGCCCAAGTGCTGTTTTGCAGAAAATTTAGATTCGAGGCAGGCCCTCGTTGCATGCTAACATTCAATAACACAAGACTGTTCACGGCATACGTAAAGCAGTGGCGACTGTGTTTTCCTACACATTCTTTGCAAAATGGGTGTGGAGGAGCAGGCCCCAGCAAATCCTTCACAAGCCTGCTGCGGACAGTGTTGGTGTCCACGGAGCACGTCTCCCGTCCTTTGAAATACGCAACAGGCTTACAAATAAGGGTGCCCTTGAGAACCGCCGGGTTTGCCCCTTGCCCCGGCAACCTCAGCACTGGGAAGAGGGTGGGAGGCGGAAGAGGAGTGACAGCAGGCAGAAAGCCGCTGAAGCACATGAAGAAAGCAGTTGGTCGTTCGCCCTTCCACTTCCTGCCTGCGGCTAACAGCTGCAGCAGAAAAGGAACCACTACCCCCCAGCTGTGGGTTACCTAAATCAAAAGGGGAAGGGGCGAGACCCCCAAAGCGCCCGTTGGGTGCCAGATGCATCCCTGGGAAGGGCTGCCGCCAGCGTGCCTTGCAGTGTCAACGGTCCCTCCCACGAACTGGCGACCGACGGATGCAGCTGCCGCAGCCTCAGCCCAGGATGCGGATGGCCCTTGCTGCAGGTGCCGCAGCCCCAGGGAACCAGAGGCAGCTGGCCTGCATACCAGGCTGCCCGTGCGCGCCGCCCCTGCTCCCCCCGCAGCCCCGAGCGCAAGGCTGTCCTCCATGCTCGCTCACATGCCGAAGCTGCAGCAAGGATCATCGTAATCTCGGCCAGTGCCGCTGCGCCGTTTACATCCCTTTGGTGAGGAACTCAAGGCAGCTGATTAGGTGGCCGCCTCTCCATTTTATGCTCCCAGCAACCCTGAGTTAGAAACTGGTCCAACGTCACTGAGTGGGAGTTAGAATCCAGGGGACTCGTGCAACATGTCGCACTGGAGCATAGTGTTCTCTGCAGAAAACCCACCGACACACGCCTTCCATGGCCTTGCCCGAGACTGAGGCATCGTCTCGCACTGCTTTTTTGTACATGCGCATGCAGTGCTTTTAACTGAGCTGCCGAGGTGGACAGGGAGGGGAAGGGATTCTCTGGACTCCTTCCTCCCTTGCACTAAACGGATTTGAGAACCACCAAGCAGCCAGTTGAGACATGCAGTGTCCCTCAGAAAGAGAGCCCATTGCTTGGGCTGGCTCTGGGGTGGAGAAAGGATCCTACCAGGTGTGTCCCGTTTGGGCAGTTCAGCTGAAAAAGTGGTGTTGACATTAGTAGCCAATACAGGTCAGGCAGGCAGGCAGGGCGAACCATCACTGTCAAGTGGTCCGGTTTAAAAACAGAAGGCTGTGAGCTCGGCTGGCTTGTTTCTCCTGGTGGCTGCACACACACAGTCAGCACTAGTGGGAGTTACTCGCCTCTTAGAAGCATGGAGCAATTACAAACATAACGGAAATGATGCCGACACTTCGCAAACGCCACTAAGATAGCACGAGTTGCAAGAAATGTGCTTGTGCAGTGGGCCAAAGTCCTACTGTGACTAGAAGGCCACATGGTTTCAACTGGGCCCTGAAAAACACCATCAGCAAAGAAGTACCCAGAGCTTGCACCTGGTGCATCTGGCTCCTTGCCCCAGAGCACTGGGCAATGGCAGCCCATTGCATCATCCCTGCTTGCTCCAGGATCCCTACAGCCTAAGGAGATGAGCAGGAATTCCTTCCCTTCCTGGTCAGGACACCCTTAGAATACGCATGCACCAAATGTCAGAGAGGAATGGAATAAGGGAGGCAGAATGCTCTGCACAGCCGATAAATCGACACCCTGAGCTCCTATACACCTTTGACTGTAGAGGCCGAATCTTGTTAAGACGACCCTGGTTCGTTCTGCCAGATGCTGATGAGGTAATGCAGACGATGCTTCACTGAGGCAAATGCAGCAAGCAAGCCCTGTAATGCTTTCATTTAGTTTGGAAGTCGTCGCTTGTATAAATTTTGCTGCTGACAACTCTGTGATGATAGCAGCTGCCCATGCACTTTTAAATTATATCCTTGCAAAGTGGGTATTAGCAGCTGAACAGCAAACGACAATACTGAGGGTTCTTACAGTTGGAAAGAGACATACTCCAAACTTGAAAGGACTGAACGTCTAAGGTTAGAACTGCCCTGCAATGAGAACAACCCCGAGCAGCGCTAGTAGATTCTCAGGGCCAACTGTCAAACAGTGCATGATTTTTATTCCTCATAAGGGAGGTTTTTTTTAAATCAAAAAGGGATGGACAAAGTGGTGAGAAAATACAGAACTACAAGATACCATCTGGACCCCCTATAAAAACAATATGAATGAAGCAGGGTAATTACACCATAAAAGGCTCTCCTGGAAGCATCCCAAGGAATACAGGCCCAAAATGTACCCTTTGTGCAATGAAAGCTTTTGATTTAAATCAGGATGCAATCCAGAGAGAGGAAGCCGTGTACCCTCCAGATCTTTCAGATTACAATTCCCACCAGCCCCAGTTGGCATGACCAATTGATAGGAATGAGCAGAGATCTAATCTCAAATATTTGGAGGAATGTCTTCTCCGGATGTAGTGGACAGAGAGCACTTGGATTGATGAGGGAACCGCAAGTGGAAATCCCTGCGCTGGCATGAAACTCACCATGCAGTCCTGGATCAGTCCTTCTCTCTGAACCAAATGTACCTCCAAGAATTGTCATGGACATAATGGTTTGTTTTTAATGTTGGATCTCCCCTTTCTACCACTTGGTGTTCAAAACAGCCCATACATATGCCATAAAGTATAATACAATACAGTATAACAACAGTAAAACGGAAGAGGCAGACACATACTGCCTTGAAATCACTGAGGAAGAAACAGGATACAAACACCAGACAAGCAAGCCCTAGAGTAGGGCGTAAGAGATAAACCAGAGTTGCCATTCAGCTTCCTTAAAATTCCTTAAAAGGCTTAAATCAAAGGCAGACAACTTATGGCCCCCTCCAGATGTTTTTGCCCACAACTCCCCTCAAGCTTAACCAGCATAGTCAAGGGTGAGGGATGGTGGGAGTTGTGAGCCAACACATCTGGAGGGAGGCCATGTGTGCCCACCCTGCCTTTGAATGATGCAGTGTTCCAAAACAGCAGTTACACAAGCACAGCAGTTGAACGGGAACCGTACACCACACATGCAAAAAAGTGGGTAAGAGGAACGGCCTACCTCGTCTGCCGTCCATATCACCTGTAGAAATGAGAAAACAACAATGTCACTAAACTCAAGAGCCCCGTCCAGTCAAACCAAAGGCCTACTGAGTAGAACACACAGTTTCCTGTAGTGATCAATCAGAGCCCTTTCCTACTTGGGTTCTCAAGAGACTAGTCTCAAGAAGCACATTTATCTGACACCTGAAGTCATATATAGCCAATGTGACTTGAAGCCATTGATAACCTTGTCCATCTGCTTTCAACGCCTTTTTAGCTGACAGCAATCAGTACATATTGTGGTAGCAAGTGCAACCGTTTAAAAATGTACTGTGTTCAAAGTGCTTTTTCGCCCATCCTCAATCTCCCACCATTCTGTCGAAGACCTTGGATTCCATTACTATGACAAAGATCTGGTTTACACATAACATTAACCCATGTTTTATGGAACCCATGGTTTCTTTCCCTACCCATTGTTTGGCAACTCACTGATCAAACAGTGAAATTTCAGGATAGCTTTCCTCCCTCTCTTTATCCTAACTGCCTTTGTGGTGTAGTGTTGGCACATAAGAGTATCTGAGGAGTTTTGGACTATTCATACCCACTGACTGTATGAATAGAGACTCTGTATGAATAAAACAACCCCTGAACAACACAGGTGTCTGGGTTTGCATGTAGTTTCAACCCATGGTTTAACCAACCCAGAATTCACAATCCAACAACAAACTGTGAAATTGCTTTTAAGTTATTCATCAATAATAAGCCATGGTTTGTACAGCACAACAACTGCGCAGTTAACAAATCATTGGTTAAATATATGTGAACAGGTCAGGAGAAAAGTATTTCTACCCTCTTCTTGTTCTACATAACTTTATATAATTCCAATCTATCAAACCCTTTATTTTTCTTTTTCCTAAAATAAATAGATCCAAATAGATCTTTTCCTCATGTGGGATTTGCTCTTGATTTTCTCCACCTTTTCCAGTTCTACAGTTCTTGTTAAGCTGTGGCAACCAGAACGGTGCATGGTATTCCAAGAAAGGTTGCACCACAGATTGGTACAAAACTCTTGCACTCCATTTTAATTCTTACCAGTTGAAATAACTGGCTTTAGGAGCAGTGAGATAACCAGGCCTACTCATTTATGAACGTATTAAAAAGCACTGGTCTCAATAAAAAACCTTGGGGGGGGCTATTCTCACATTTCCCACCCACCATGAAGAATCCATTTATTTCTACTCTCTGATTCTTGCTTTTTAATCCATTACTAGTCCACTTAATCAAAAGGAACTTACAAAGAAAAGGAAAAATAAACAGTCAACTGGGAGGAATTTGGGGAGAGGGTACCAATGCAATCTTCACTTGCTAAATCAAGGGGAAAAACTAGTGAATAAGGTCACACTTGGCCATGCCTGCTTTGTGTAAGGATGGGAAAATAGTGTCAGAGCCACCAGTAGGAACAGGGGAACAGAATCATAGAAAAGTAGGGCTGGAAGGGACCAAGAAGGCCATGGGTGGAACCCCCTGCTGCTGCAGGTCACCAAGTCACACCATCCCACTCAGATGAGTGTTCAGATTATTTCTGAATGTCTCCTGTGTGGGAGAGCCCACAACTTCCCTAGACAAGTGGTTCCACTGTCGTGTTGCTCTGACAGTGAGGAAATGTCTAGCCCGAATCAGGGTTATTGCAACTTGAGTTGATTATTCCATGTCCTACACTTTGGCATCAGTGAGAAGAGACCTTGACCTTCCTCTTTGTGACAGCCTTTAAGGTCCTTATGTGGGGATACCATGTCCTCTCTTCAGTCAGACACTCTTTGAAATAGACAGGGATACCACAAGCCATAGCCTGTGGCACAGCAACTGCAATGACCTCTATTTATTTAAGCAGCATTTTAAATGTTAATACTATTGAATTTTATTTGGCCAGGGCGGCTTATTTTATTCTAATGTATATATTTTAATTGTTATTGTCTTAATTTATTGTGTATTTTATTCTATGCTGTGAGCCGCCCCGAGGCTTCGGCAAGGGGCGGCATAGAAATGTTTTAATAAATAAATAAATAAATAAATAAATAAATATCCTCCTAGGGGGCCTTCATATAAGGCAGGGCCGGCTTGCAGGTTGCTTAAGATGAAGATCAGCCTTGGCTTGATGGTCTAAATCAGTGGTTTTCAACTGCCAGTCCGCACAGCAGCACCAGTCCGCCGGCGTTTCCCGCCGGTCCGTGAAAGAGACCATTTTGCTCATTGGGACCAGCACAGGGCTAGCTGTGCTCTTGCCAATTCCCCACCTCTTCCTCGGCGAGGATGGGGAGGAGAGAGAGCTCAATCGGAGCTAGCTGAGAGCCGTGCCGGGTGCGCCCTCTGGGCACGACCCTGAAGACTGGGCCTTTTCCTTTTTCTGCTGGGAAGGGAAATGGCAAGGCAGGGTTATGCGGGGAATGCCTTCTCAGCCAGCCTGTGCTGGTGTGTATGGGGGTTTGAGTGGGTGGGGTTCGTTGTATTTTATTATTTAACACTATGAATATTATTCTGTTAAGTATCTTTGTTTGTATTGCTCTGCTGTTAATACTGTATTTGAATTTGTATTTGCTATGAGCATAGCACTGAATTTATATAGATTTTGTATTCTGCTATTGTAAGTTTTTGATCAAGTATTCTTGAAAAGAACAATAGATTTCGCAGTAGCCTTATCTGAATTACATATTGCTCTCTAAAAATTTCAGTTTTATTTGATTACATTTAATTTCAATATTTTATTATTTTATTAGCATTTTTTACTGCTCAGTTTCTAGTTATTTTAGAGAATTTTTGTTTTTTTGGTACTATATTTAAAACAAATATACAAAATGCTATATTATGTACATAATGCTTTTTATTTCTGCCTCAGCGGCCCCCAAAATAATTTTCCTATTTTTGCCACTCCCCAGCTGTGAAAAGGTTGAAAACCACTGGTCTAAATGACTTCAAGGTCACCCATCACAACCTTGAATATGGAACAAACCATCTGTTCCATTTTCCACCTCCTTTTTTATTTTCTATCTACTCCGAGACAGCTTAAGTGTCTACTTTCTTCTCCACAGCAAGTTCATTGCGAAAAGCTGTGTCACATCTAACTTGTGTTGACTACCTGCCTGCCTATATTATAATCATAGTTCCACTCTTCTCTTCTATTTATCGCATTGCACCAAACTGTGGAGAACACCAGTGTTATCTTATGTTTGTCTTGTTTCTTTTCAGAAGCTCAAAGATTTTCATCTTGGTTTGGGAAGACTCACACTGGCATACCATGGGATCCTCCAGCTTATGGAAGAAGGGAAAGAGGAAAATGAAAGAAAAAACAAAGCCAACCAAAGCTTACTTGAATCTTTTTTTATCTCAGCTAAAAGTAGAATGCACACAGAGGGAGCATTAGTAAATAATTCTGAGGATGCAACACCATCCCGATCTGTAGCATACCTCATCCACAAATGGATTTTGCTTTGTTCTCGTGTTTGTGAAGGGTTTCTTCTGCACTTTGAATACTGTCCTCAGCTTCTTCTATCCTTTTGTGGAGGGTACTTAATCCTCACATCAGGCTCATTCACACTGAGAGCTTCCCAGCACAACCTACCCCCATTCCACACAGAGAGAGAGTTTACATGGCTGAGGCATCTGGGCTACTTTTGGGGAGGCCAGCCCAAAGCCATTACTCCCCAAGCTGTCCTGTGATTCAACTGTGACTACACAAACGTGTGTGCATGGAGGAGCACAGGTATGTATCATACTCCAGCATCTCTACTTGCAAGGTGCTTCGTAAACCAGCATTTCCCATGGTCAGACTCACAGAACTTAAAAGCAACACTCTATAGAGACATACAATCAGCAGAATCAAGTGAAGATGTTTTGGTTGGACTTTACTATTTCAGGTTCCAGTGTACTATGCTCTGCATGCTTGGCTAATCCCCATGGATTAAACTCCCTGAGCACAGAATATTTGTCTCATAAGAAGAAGGGTGCTGCCTTAGACAGCTCCACAATTTGGAACATGCTTTGTGTACTGGGCAACCTTGCAAGCACCCCCTCCAACCTGTGGAGTGCAAAACAAGGCTGCACCCAGAAAGCTTTACCCCTTGACTCCGTTACCTGATTCTGCACTGATCCTGGTAACACACCTGCATCAAGCCTCACATCCTTAGTCAAAGCTGCTTAAGAGCCTCTCACTTTCTGGGCGTACTTATGTGACTGTGCCCATCTGCATAAGAGGCACATATAGCTCTGACGAAGTCTCTTTTCTTCCGGGGCACTACAATGACACAGTGCGCATTAAAAAATCTACTACCACCAATTTCCAGGCTTCCAGTTGTAGTCTCACACCTTCATGCAAACGATGCATTGTTCAGCATAGTTTAACTACTCTATTACTCAAACCATGACATGTGAGATTCAGAAAATTAAGAAGTTCCATTTAAAAGCATGTACTTTGCATTCAGATTACCTGAACAAAGTCGAGGTAACGCACAATGAGAAACAGTAACCAGCATAACATTTTAAGAATGGTTCCACAAATGTGCTTTAGAAAAGTGGGAAGGAAACGTCACCTTATGTGACAATTTCGGCAAAAGGGAAAGCAAGATTAAAGCTCAGCTAGTAAAGGAAAAGCCAGCAGCAAAGATTTCCCTGTAAACAAATTTCTTCAATCAGAAGATTTTTATCCACAACGTGGGTTGTTAAGTAGCAGTAACAGGATGGGGATTTGGTGACCCTATGAATGTGTGCTTATGATGTGACAATTTAGTTCATATTAGTAAGAAAACAAGGAAGGAACAGTTACACCAGTTTCATTAATCTGGAACATATGAAGCTGCCTTGTATGGAATCACACGTTGAATCTAGCCCAGAATGGTTGTTGCTGGCTGGCAGTGGACTTCCAGGATCTGAAGCAGGATTTTCTCCTGCCCTGGCAGAAGGTGCGGGTGACTGAACCTTGGACCTTCTGCATGCAATCCATCTATTCTACCACTGAGCATGATCTTTGGAATGAAGCCTCAAAACAAGGTTCATTCCCACTTCATTCACCTAGAGTACAATTACAAGGGAGCTACTTTAAGACTGTTGAAAAACAGTTCAGACCCAAATGGTCCTTGGGCACCAAACCACTTCGGTAGGTCAAGGACAATTTGCAGAATCTGTGCACCATGTAAAATGGGTCACCGAATCAGAGGGCTGACTTGATCATCTAAACTGCTCTTCCCCAATTTGATGCCCAACAAGGATTCTGAACTATGACTCCCAGCATTCCCAGACCATTGACCATGATGACCGGGGTTGATAGGAGCTGATCCAACACATCTCGAAGGCCTGAGGAAGGCTGATCTAGCCAAATTTTCTAGCCAGCGTGGTGTGGTGGTTCGCAGGGTGGAGAGGGACTCAGGAAATCTGGGCTCTAGCCCCCACTCAGCCATGTTGTAAGCCGCCCTGAGTGTTGTAAGCCGCCCCGAGGCTTCGGCGAATGGGGCGGCATAAAAATGTTTTAATTAATTAATAAATAAATAAATAAATAAATAAATAAATAAATAAATGGAGCTCACTTTGGGCCAGTTACTTACCCTCAGCCCACACTACCTCACAGATTTTTTGCTGTGAGGCTAAATGGAAAGGAGGGTAAGTCTCCATGGGTTCCTTTCAAGAAGAAAAAAAGTGGGATATAATTGTAATGGAGGAGGAGGAGGGACCTTTGGTGTGTTTGCCTTACATTTTAGCATCCTGCAAACAAGGACTGGTTGAACAAGATACACGTCAGCAGACAAAATTCCAGGACAGAAACAGTTTAGTAAAGAGACAGCACAAGTAACTGAACGAAGCCAGATGCTACTCACAGAAGCTGCTAAATACACATAAGCAGCCACTGATCAAAACAGACGTATGGGAGCAAGTGAAAAAAGCAAAGCTCTTCCGTACTTGAGGTGACAAATGCTTTTGAAGTAGTTGCTGCTGTCGTGGCATTGGCCTCTCCAGGTATCAAGTCTGCATTATCAGTGTTCGTATGTGAAACTGAGGATGTGACGCTTGGCGGGAGGGAAGTGGGCCCAGAAGTGAGCACCGCTGCCTTCAGAGTCGTAGCTTCTGTGCTTGGCGCACTGACGGTGGTGGAAGGCAGGAATTCCGTGGTGGAAGGAGGCGTCTGGTTCTGTACCACAGCAGGAGGCTCTGTTGGAGGAGCAGGGCGCTTGCTGATGGGACTTGTGGGCTTCCCACTACTTGGTGGTGTCCTGACAGTTTTCACGGAAGCTGTGGGCAAGGCAGAACCCGACAAGGGTTGCACTGGAAGGAAAAGAATAAAGGAAACTGCGAACAGGCATGGAACAGTGCACACTTCCCACCACAGGACTTGGAAGCTTTGAGCCAATGGTTTCCAACGATGGGCCTAACGTCTCTTCCTGATGCTTCACCCATGCCTTCTCAAAGGACAACCCCATCTCCACTAGCATCTTTTCCCTCTTCCTCTCTCAGCTAGAACACTTCATCCGCCTCTGCTACAGGGTTCCACAGGCGAACTGAACAGCGCTGTGGCATCCCTACCCCTGCGAAGCAGCACTGCCCAACACCATGGCGGGCCTAGCCATCTTTCCTCCTGACCGTATCAAGCTAAATGCTCGCTTTAAAAAAGGTGCAGTGTGCATTGGGCTAAAATCGTAATGATATCTTTCCACATAACAGTTTGATAGTTACTTTAGACCTTTACTTTCAATGGATATATGAAGAAATTATTTCTATTAAAGAACAGCTTGTTTTAGGACCAATAAAACAGCCCCATGATTTAAATAAGTGATTTCAATTAAAATTGCATTAATTCTGAATACAAATATTCCCTGCCTAATCCCATTGCGCTCGCAGACAGTGTGCAATTAGAGCAGCTAGAACAAAACTATAAACCAAAACAAGGCACAGTGAATCTCAGAAATAGTGTTTGAAAGCATACTAAGGTGCAGCATTTACACTGTCGACCTAACAATATGCTTAACAATACTAAATATAAAAGACGCTGATGACACATATCATGCAGGCACATACAGATGATGCAGCTATGCCATTTCCCATCTCTTAATGACAGTAAATTGAGAGCAGGCAGCCAATTTGCATAATCTGAGTCACTCCCCTCCTCCATTCCCCAGTTTGTTTTAACAATGGTGAAACACTGGCCTGGGAAGCATTGTTACAATAACCTAGACTGGAGAATAACCTAAAGGTGTCATTTTAATGTATTTGATTTGGGATGCATTCCATTTTGGTGCGTGAGGCTGGGGGAGGGAGCACGTGGGCAGGCAACCTGCTCCTACTCCTGTGCTCGCAAGAAAAGTTATGCCTGCTCAGTGCTTCCGCAGCAACCCCAATTTTGCAATCACTGTGCATGTGAATGAGCTAATGAAACAAACTGCTGGAAAGCCCCTCTCCACTCGGAGCATCCGAGAGCCAACCAAGATGAATGCATGCCATACCTGTGGTCATATTGTTGGCTCCGAGGCACGTCAGGCAGCTGCTGAACAGGACGACTAGGAAGCAAGAATCCATGTTGGCCTGGAGGAGATGGGGAAGAGATACAGGACAGAAGGACTTCATTAGAGATTTTCGTAAAGTAGTCCAAGGCTGAAGCTGCCATCAGTTACCCAGCCACTGATACCTGCTCAGAAGGCGTTCTCTTAAAAATACCCATGTCTGTTCCGCACCAAGGAGTCTCAATACTCGAGAGCAAGCACAAAGTAATATATACTGGACAGCATATTTGGTTTTTGAATCTGGTATTTGAGATTCTGCATTCTTAAGAGTGGCTGTCGGGGAGATTCACCAATGTGAAAGGGGCAGAACCACAAACTGGTGAAACCTAATGGCTGTCTTGTGGACATGGAGATTATGTGTACCAAAAAGTGCGTCATTAACAGCATTTCCAAACTTGTAGGACAGGACAGGCTGTGGCAGAGGATAGTCCTAGTTCAGCTCTCTCCTCAGCCACAGACGGCTTTAGGCAATGCCACTATCACTTCCCTTCAGCCCCTTCCATCTCTTACAGGGACAATTGTAAAGACTTATTTTGCAAAGCTGACACCAACTGGGACCCGAGATCGCAAAGGGGCACCTGGAGATTTAAGGGCAGGTCAAAGCACATTGCTAGACTTCGCGCAGACCTCAGAGCAGCAAGGGAAAGACGCAAGATCCACCTACCATCTCACAATTAAAGGGCTGATTTATCCCGCCACATACACCCTGAGAGCAGCACTTCATTTAGCCACCTAGCACTGCTCTTCACTGCACGGGACACTAGGCTGGCGCAGTCACCAATGCTTCTGGCGCAACAAGCGAGGACTGCCCATGGCGTGCTCATCTGGAAGCAGCTCATGCCCGAGGCCGGGACACGGCGGGGCCATGCGACGGCGCATCATCTGCTCTGTGCACCAAAGGGCCTCACTTCATTCATTTGGTTGCACCCATAGCCAACCACAAGCACAGTCACTGCGGACGGACCTGACGGACAATTCTTTGCCTGGCCTTTGGGAAAACCTTGCAAAATATTAAGGGCTCACCCATCCCTTTCCCACAGTAGAACAAGGTCTCTGCACTGAATCCACACTTTATCGGGCTTCCAATGGACAAAAGGGGACATGGACAGACGGTAGGGAAATTGAACATTTTCAGCTTGGTTATAAGCCTTTCTTACAGTATCCTCTCTCTGGGAAGTCCCCGGAAGGGTCAACCGCTGGCCTGCCAAAACAGCTCATCTCTGGCCACAGCTTAGCCAGCTTGACTGTGATGGCTGCCACTGCTATACAATGCCTCCACCTGCTTCAGCTGAGGCCCTTCCCAACCTCTAGACACAGGGAGGAATGACGCCATAAAAATTCTGAATGCATCACCCAAGCCCCAAGGTCTTCCCAGATCCAAGCAGACAGCTTTTGCTTGCAGAACGCCAAGGAGAAGCGGCCTGAAGAGAGATGCCGGGGCCAAACTAGAGAGAGCAGACATGACTTTAGGACGCAAGCAGAGATGCTCGCTTTAAAAAATTTAATAGCAGGTGTGTAGTGGGGGCTGGGGGAGTTTACATCATCAAGCCTGCTGTGCACAGGGAGGGAAGACCTAACCTTTCCCTCCTAAAATATGATCTTGAAACAAATCCCCCTCCCTCTCACACATACTGTATCAACCCTGGGGCAGAGTTGGGGGGCCCTTATTGCTGCCAAGGATCCCCCCACTAGCAGCACTGGGAAGAGAGAGCATTTTGTTGTTATCACAGCTCAGAAGAAGAGAGTCTCTCTATTCAGCACACTGAAGGCTTCAAGTTTTCAGCATGTGAAGAGTAAGCCATGGATGTCCGGGACACCTCATTTTTCTTCACTGCTTTCTTAGAATGCTGCTCCTCTATGTCTGGAGACCTGGGATGACTTCAGGGTCTGCATGAATGTGTAAACAACATGAGAGGCTCCTCCACAGACCGTCTGTCAAACTTCAAGAACCCGACATTCCCTGGGTCCCCATCTCAGTGCTTCCAGGGGCCACAACGGCATCCACAAAGCTCTGCACACTCTTCCCCTTCAAAAATTTATTTCTACTAAAAACACTTTAAAAATGTTAGGCTGGCAGGTTCTCTTTCCTGCTTCTAAACCTATCTGTAATCAACTCATCAGCAGGCAGGAAGTAAAGGAAAGAGTTGCTTTCCGGCTCCACCCGACTTTCTTCTGTCCATGCAGACCTTTCCCCTCTATCCGCTCCTCCTAGCTTCTAGCGTTGCTGTTTCTCTCTAGAAAACCCCTTTCCTCTCTATTTCTCGCCTTCCCCTGTCCCTGGATGCCTCCACTCCCTTCCCAGCCCCAAACATGGCTCTCTTCCCCGCTCACCCCTTTATCTCAGTGTTTCTCTCCACTCCTAACCTCTACGGCTTGCTATTTCTCCAATTCTACCTGTTTACCTTGCTGTTTCTCTCCCCCTCCACTCCCCAGCCTTGCTTTTTCTCTCCCCTCTATCCCTTTGCCTTTGTATTCTGGCTTTATTTATTCCTCTCTATACATCTCTCATAGCAGTTCCTCAAATTCCAAAATGGGTTCATTAGTACCGAAATGGAACTCCTGTGACAAATAGTTTATAAGTCTATCCAAAAACAAGTTTCATTTACCAAGACAAGGTTCACACACACACACGGGAGTCACCCATTCGCTGTCAGTCTCACAAAATAGTTACAAGCATGTTACACCTATTTTAAAAGCTACCAAGCTATTAAGGGTTTTTGTTTTGTTTTGTTTTGTTTTGTTGACAGTCAGAAGCTCTAAAAACTCAGGCTGGGATACCTAGTTGCTAACCTTCCTCCGAAACACACCAAACCAACCCCTGAGTGGCCTTTTGGTCAATCTCTGATAAACAGTGCGTCATCAGGTAACCGTGCATAAGTGGGCTTTCTTGGTACTGGCATCCATCCTCGTGAAGCACTAACACACTGAAATATTTCAAAACAAGGTAATAACAATAACACCATGACTGGTCAGCAAGAAAAAGCTCTCAAAATAAGACTGTCTCTAACAGGTGCAAAAAACAGCAGTGTGTTGGCCCCTGCCTGATCTCCTAAGGTAGGGAATTCCGCAGAAACGGGGCTGCGGCCTGGAAGGCTCTTCTCGTAGGCTCCAGCCAGGCCATGGGTCTGCATGGAACCACCAGGAGAATTGTCTCCAGTGATCTCAGTGGTCGGGCAGGTTGGCATATGAGAAGGTGCTTTCTCAGGTTTCCTGGTCCCAAGTCAAGGGCATTGTACACGGGCCCTAAACCGTTAAACCTGGCCCAGTAGCGAACCTGTAGCAAGTGCATCCTAAAAGAGGTGGCTCCCCAGAACAGCCGAGCCACTGCGCTCTGTGCTCAGGCCAGCTTCCAGGGCAGCCTTAAGGACGGTCCCATACGGCATGTTCTGAAGTAGTCCAGGCCTGAGGTTGCCAGGGCCTGCATCACTGTGGCCAAGCGACCCCGTCCAGAAGTGGCTGGTGCTGGCAAACCACACAGAGAGGCACAACGCTTGCCAGCAACCGTGATGAAACTCGGAGTACTGTCAGACTATGAACCTGGCCTTCCAGGGAAGTGTAAATTCTTCCAGAACAAGTAGCACATAATTGAACTTGACATCACTCTGCTTACCACTTTCATTGTACTGTTTGTAAGGACAGCTATTATTTATAGAAGGATATTGGTTTTAGACTGGCTTGTGTCTACTTCTTTTTAAACCACTTGGAAACACTGGCATATCAAGCAATACAGAAGCAGCTCAAACAAACAAACAGACAAACAAACAAACATGTTGTGTGGGTGTTTAAATCACAGAGACATAAAGGAAACCCAACTGCATCATAGACTGACCATTTAGAATTATGCAGCTTTCCTTAACAAGAAAGCTGAGTAAAAATCTCAAACTGTTAGTCAGTTTGTGAGTTTCTTAGAAAATAATACATTATTATTTAATTCATTCATTTCTATACTGCCCAATAGCTGGGGCTCTCTGGGCAGTTAACAAAAGTTAAAATGACACACACACAACAATAAAATTAAAAGAACAAAATCATTATCCAGGCACAGAAGCACAGCAGTGGTATAGAAATAAAATGGGATAAAGTTTAAAAGATATGATGGTTAAAATGCTGGGGAAATAAAAAGATCTTCACTTGGCACCAAGAATAATACAAAGCAGGTGCTGGGTGCACCTCTTCAGTAAGATCATTCCAAAACAGGAGGGCCACAACCAAAACAAGCCTCCCCCCAGTAGCACTTGCCTCACTTCCTTTGGAAGGGGCCCCTGGAGAAGCACCTCCAAAGGTGACCTCAGGCTCTGGGTAGGTATAGATGGGAGGAGGCGATCCTTCAGCTTACCTGGCCCCAAGCCATTGAGGGCTTTGAATGTCAGTACTAGCACTCTGAATCTGGCCCGGACTTCAACTGCCAGCCAGTCTAAGTGGAAGAGGATGGGCGTATTGTGTTTACAAATTTTTCAGACACTCTGGTTGCAGTTTTTAATACATTCTTTCATCTGCTTTTCGTTTTTGCTGTTCACTGCTATAGAGTCTACTTGGTTATGGAATGGGATAGATAATATAAATAAATAAATGCCTATTTAAGCCAATGCCTATGATAACTTATTATGGGCATTACAGTGGGCTTTGAAAGGCTGCTAGCAGGATGGTAACAAACATCAAGGAGGCATCAACTGGCATTTCCAAAGAGTTCAGCTCTTGTGTCTGCAGATGGTTCAAAGCAAGGTAGGCTAACATACATAGAAACAGAGCGAGTCAGAAGGGGTCTTCTGGGCCATCTAGTCTGACCCCTGGCTCCAGCCTGCTCTGCTCACAACATGCCCACCATGTGCATACACTCAACATTGTTAAAAGAGTCTGGGAACACAGGATGGCAGTGTCCCTTCTGTGGCGTAAAGTCACAAGCCCTCTATCTTTCCAGAACGGCATAATTTGACAGCAACATCTTAATGGTTAAGTCTAAACTTTCAAGATTCAAACCATGATCACATTCTGGAATTCCTTCCACTGTGTATGCCCCTCCCT